TCTCTCTTTCTTCAGCTCGGTACCTACGCTTTGTCCCTCAACTTCTTCTTTGCCTTTAGATTGCAAAGTTGAATCATCGCTTTTTGTTTGGCCCAGGCTCCAAACAACAAATGCCTGCAATTCACATACATGGGAAACATCCGTCTCAGGCTAACCCCAACACGCTGGGTCGCAGGCATCCAAAATGCGAATGCCAGGGAATTCCAAGGGGGGCCGGAACATCCGCTGAATGGAAGCCCCTCGTTTGACAAACCAGTTGGTCCCAACTGACTCAACCATGCCTTGAGTCCTTGATCCCCTTACGCCTTCTTCCGGACCCGGGTGCCTACCGATTCGCCGATTTGCGCGAGTCGAATCGCGCCTTGAGCTGCTGCTTTGTTCCCCACGGTGGCCAGGCCTTCCCAAGACCTCCAAATCATCACCTGAGACATCCGCGCGACTCATTCGATTCGGGAAGAGACCAGCCCGAAATCCGTGATGGCTGCAATTGAAATCATTTTCTACAAACAAGCAACTTGACGCCCAACACGGACTTGCGCAAGCCCACAACCAAAAAGATGGCGCCATTCTGAGAGAGCAAAGTTCAAGGTTGGAGGCCCAAAACACCGAGACTAGCTTCGCAGACCTGGACAACGGCAAGGCCGTGAACCATCAGCTCACACCAAAAGCACTGGGTTTTACAAGGGCCATCAAGGGTACACCAAAATCCATCCGTACCAACACCCGGGTCCCAACCGCAACCACTGCTGTTTGGTTACCGTACAGCACTTTGGATTTTGGTTGCATGGTTGACAAAGCAGTAGCAAGGGGCCCGGTTGCTCGTAAGTATGGCTGTTTCGTGCGGTATCTTCTTCTGAGACGGGCAAGTCGTACCATCCAGGAAGCTGGGGACCCCGCTGCTTGCCTGGTTCTCACTATGAAATGCCAACAGTTTCTCTTTGGTTTCCCTTAAAGTCCCCCCCCCACCAGCCCAAAACAGGACGCGGCCAAAAATATGTTCCCGGTCTTCCCTGAGCCTGGAAGTGGAGCGCGCGGACAAGCTCGCTGGTTCGAAATTCACTCTGGGCCAACAGTTCTGTTAGCTGGAATTCAGCCATGCTTTTCGCCATTTAGGAAATGGGCTCAAACGTGGCGTAAGATTTATAGAGACTTACTTTTTAGATAGCTCGAGATGTTTCAATGACTCATTCTCATATACATTGTGGCATCTATATTTCTTCATGTATCATATACGAATTACACAAATGTATCTATATCCACCCACCCAAACACAGAAGTGTTCATGCATGCCTGGGAATGAATGTTTCTATGCAATCAGAATACCGCACGCCTCAATTTCATGTCTTGAGCAAAGCTCGGGGACCGGTACGCGTGCTCAGCTTCCGAACTGAGAAGCTTTGAAAGAGAAACTCGCGAATTGACCGAGCATGACTCGTATCTTTATGGATCTGGGTGAATTATAATATTTCACCAGCCTGAAATAAAGTAGTTGGGGGGCCATTCCCCGCATAAACAACCATTTGGGGTGAGGTCGTGTGGGGTCGTTATAATTCACCCAGATGGATGACATGGAAAACGCGTGCGACACACACACACACATGGATTACATGGCTCTTCCCACGGCTTTGCGGTAGGCAAGGTCAACCAAGGTTCCCCGGTCGGGAAAACATCTTCTACGATCCCATGGCTGGCAATCAATCCACCGATTGCCAGTCTCTCGTGGCCCTGCAAAAAGCCGCAACTTTTGCCGGTGTCAGTTGGGCAATAGAGCATTGCAGGTCTGGCGCGGCTCATTTTCCCATTCTCCAGCGTGAGGGAAGAAAAACACAACTGCACTGGAAATTCAGCGAGAACGGTGTGGGAGACCGACACCCCTAAGTCCTCGGTGTTTGCCATGGTCCACCCGTTGGGTAAACAACCTCTTGGCTTCCGATTCAATCAGGGGGAAAACGCCGGCGGCTAATTAGTACATATTCTTGCCCACGCTCCTACAGACATGTCCTTCATCTTTTTTGTTGCACGACCTCCTTTTGGCAACGTTGGGCCGCGGACGTAACTTAGTTGCTCAGTGACCCTGGAAAAATAGGGGAACCCTTCTTGGAAAAGACAATTTGTAGTGGGGCAGCCACTAAAAAAAAGAACAAGGGTGCCACTGAACTGAAGTAAAGCAGAGGCACGGCGAAGCGAGCGGTGGGTTTTGTCCCAAGTGGTCTCCCGCCGGGTCGCGACCGTCTCCTTTGGCAGCTGGCGGCCCCCTGAGAGCGCGTCGTCCCACACCACCGCGGTGCCTTAGGCGGGTTTTTGTTTTTTTTTCGGGGGTTTCCTCACGGTTTTCCCTGTTTTTTCGAGGTTTCCTCCGAATTTGCTGGATCAAGTGCAACCGACATGGCAGACCCATAAGACCGGAAGCCTCAAAAAACGCAAAAGCGAAACGCGCCCTGCCAGGCTTGCCTGTTCTGCTGTTTTGAGGGTTCCTGTTTTGGGGGTTCTTTCAAAGGACAACCAAAAGGAAACCGAAACCCATTTTGGAGGTCCCTTATTTTGACACACACACACACACACACTCAAGCACCCGAATGGGTGCCTGTTTTTCTTTTTTGGTGTGTGTGTGTGTGTGTGGTAGCGCCGTTTTTGACAGGTTTCCAGAGACACTAAAAGGACGCCATGTTGGGGATCCCCCTTGGAGACACATAAACAAAAACAAAATGGGGCTGTCGGTGCGTCTCAAAACCATGTTTGGGCGATGATTTGTGGGGAAGACTGCGTCCAGCACCCTTCAACCACTGCTCTGTGACTTTGCGCATGGGTGCTGGCAGGTCTTTGGAGGAAACTGGTTTGTGAACCCCTGGTAGCTTCCATAGTGGGTGGGAAGGTGTACCAATGCTCTCCCCAAAGGGTTGGCTCACTGACACTGTTCAGTATGCCAGCCGCTTGCGTGACGGGGAAAACCGCTATGGTTTGGAGCGGACAAGGGCGAGTCTGACACAGTGCGCTCTGAATGTCAAAATTCCGACTGTGCTCCACGGCTGCCGTTTGACAACAAAGGAACCTCTAGAACAAGGTTCCTGATAAATATGTCCCTCAAGTATCATCCCAACACAAGCTGACTTTAACAGGGGCTGAGACGTGATGTTTGAAACTCCACAAATTTGTAATATGCAGACCCGCCTGGAGCCCCCGCAAGAAGGTTCTACACCTTACAGGAAATCCTGATCTATTTCAACCGGGTTTGAGCCCATTCTTTTTTGGGGGGTAGCAGAGTTTCGAACGGTAGCCCGCCCACAAAACACGCCACCGGCGAGACGAAAAACGTTTGGCACAAGGCGCGGCGCAGGCCCTGAAGATGCTTCGCCGCCTTCTCCAACATCAGGCCTAAGGTGGGCCGGTTCGCCTTACCCTGCAAAGGTTGATCAATCCAGAGGAAGTTCTTTCCAGTTTCGGACGATTTATCTCCCCGCAAACACGCATCCTGCTCGTTTTTCCTGGTTTTGGAAGCTGTGACCATGGCAGGTATGGATCTATAGGAGTGTTGACCCCAAATGAACAAACCAGTCCTATCAATAGAGATTATCCCCCCAAAAAACGATTAAGATGGGCCACCACGAAAAGGGGACACCTCCCTATTCATCAACCAGGAGTTTTATTAATCCCGGGTTGACACTGCCCACCCAATCGGTACACAATGCACATATTTGGAGGAACATGGATGGATTATCCACAATTGAGGACTGATTCTTACTCATTATAGTGGGGGTCAACAAAAAAACACCCACTCCTAGGTCCGGGGTTCCTACTAAAAAACAACTTCAGGCCTAAGGATGTAATCTAATGAATTTCGCGGGTTCCAAGAAAAAACTTGGCAGCAAACGCGGGACAAATCCAGCACCCCCAACCGCTTTTCCTATGTCCAAAATCCCAGTGGTTGGGACCGTGCTGGATGGGCTTGGCCGGTGAAGTAATTTGGCTTCAGAACGCGCCACCCAAAACCCGACCTGTGATGGTGTAGGCCCAAACTTCAAATAACCATTGAAACCAAGCAATGTTCGACCTTTGCACATGGCACGGGCCCAAGGACATGTGCACAAACCAAGAAGGAACGTAAAAGGAGACCAGCCGCCTGAAACAAGACACAAGGAAACAAAGCACCTACACAAGGACATCCATCACCTCAACACTAGCACACTCACGAACGGAAACACCCCCCTTGAAGTCGCCGTGGGCACTCTCCTTCATTCCCACCGTCAGATTTCCTATATATTTCTCCTTTAATGTTGACCCAGGATCCCATGATTACGGCCAATACATGTGTATTGCCCCAACGTCCCCCGACGGCCCGCCTGAATGTGTCAGAAAACATGCGCAGGGCCAGTGTTTTCAGAGGTTGAAGCTCACAGGTCCGGACCAAGTGTGTGGGGCCGAAGTCTGGGGTTGGGCCCCGAAATGCGCACCCTCTGCGGGAATCGTGTGTGGGGGATTTCCTTTTTTCCCCTCTTGCACGCAAGCTAGTCTTTGTTTGCAGCCAGCCATGTACACTTTTTTGGCTGGAAAAACATGAAACCCTAAAATCCTAAAACCCTAAACCTAAACCCTAAAACCTTAAACCTAAACCTAAACCCTAAACCTAAACCCTAAAACCTTAAACCTAAACCCTAAACCCTAAAATCCTAAAACCCTAAAATCCTAAAACTCTAAACCTAAACCCTAAACCCTAAACCCTAAAATCCTAAAACCCCCAAAACCCAAAACCCTAAACTTAAACCCTAAAATCATAAACCTAAACCCTAAAATCCTAAACCCTAAACCTAAACCTAAACCCTAAACCTAAACCCTAAAATCCAATAAACCTAAACCCTAAAACTAAACCCTAAAACCTAAACCCTACAATCCTAAAACCCTAAACCTAAACCCTTAAATCCTAAACCTAAACCCTAAAACACTAAACCTCAACCAAAGTACAGCCAGCCAGCCACGGTGCTGCGCAACTCAAGGGACAACTGCACCCATTGCATGCCTATCTAATGGGCGGCTCCCAACCTGAGCCGAGCCAAGGTCCTGGTCAAGGTCCTGTGGGGCGGAACGCATGTATTGGGGGCATTATTAGGGGGGTGTTCCCTCCAAAAGTGATGAATCCCCACTAAAAGGGGACACCCCCCTATTAATCAACCAGGGGTGTATTAATCCGGGGTTAACATTAAACATCACCCCGCCGAAGACTCACACGTTGGACAGTGGGCACATCTGGTTGAGGGTGATGCCTTTTCAAGAAGGTTGTTTGGTTGACGCCGTCGACGGCACGAGACTTGCACAAAGCAGCACGACAGAACGACATGACTGGCTCAAGGTGGCAAATGACCACCCGGGTCCCAACAGTGGAGGAAGCGCTTTTCGACCGGATGGAAACAAAGTGGAATGTCCCTTGCACATGGCCGAAGTCCCACCAAACCGGCCAGCAGCACCCAACCACTGCTGCTTGGACAGTACCAAGGGACTCACAAAAAGCGGTGAAACGGCGCTGACAGCGTTTTCAAGCCGATGTATTTCAGGGTATGCATGGTTCGGTCCAATCCCTTCCAAGAGTGGATCACCCCTTTTGAACTCTATTTAAAAAGGAAACCAAGAGGAAAGCAAATGCAATCCAAACGAAAATGACAAGTAAATCGCGGAAGAGAAAAACCAAGAGAACACCAGCCAAAAAACCACCCAACCAACCACCCAAAAGCACTCCCCACCCATTTTGGCCCGGGAAAAAAAAAAAACAGCTTCTTCCCCCCCTAAACCCATCCGACTCTCTTCCCAGAAAAAGGCGCCCTCGAGCTTCTTCACGCTCACATGGCTCTCCTGCGCCGCGGCGAGGGCCCTGCGGCTCTTGGACCATTGCTCCGTGGGCACCTCGCGCGAGAAAAAAGAAGAAAAAAAAGCGCCCAGGGGGAATTTCCATGTAGTAATTCTGGGGCTGAGGTGCATCATTGCGCAGGATGAGCTGCTTCAGATGCATTTCCCCTCCCCCCCCGTTTTCTTTTGGCATTGATGGCGCGTCTTAGTGACTCGGAGCCAATTTGAAAGAGGAAGCCGGAAACAGATTCCCTCTTGTGACGCCAGGGGAACATCAACGCCGGACAAAACAATTAGATCAATCCAACCTTAAAACCCACACCCTCTTGAAACCAGGGGAACATCAACGCCGGAAAGAAGAAAATAACAAGAAGATCAGTCCAACCTTAAAACCCACAGACGATAAAACCACATGTTTCAAAAACCACATGATGACGTTGGTGCCGGAGAAAGAGTCCAAGTTCGAAACCCACAGAACCAACAAAACCCCTGGATTTCAGCGCATGGAACCGTTGGTGTGCACTGGAAGGGGCCTTTGGAACTAGCTTCTGTGACCTTCTTTTCGAACTAGAGGAATGCCACCCCGGCGATGTCCCTCAAACCCGCAACTTCTCAGGAAACTCCCAGAAAATGGATGGGCGCGCTGTGTGTTTTCCTCTGGGCCCGGTTTCACAGCACCCCTTCCGCCTCATCACCTCCGATGTGGATGTACGGCGACTTTGCAAAGAGCTGCGCCATCTCGCTGAGCACGTCCTGCGGTGTGTCAAAAGGAGTCGGATCACGGCTGCTTTTAATGGGTTGCCTGAAAACACCCTATCCCGACACCCTCAAACAAGGCGACACCCAAATGGGAACCCGGAACCGGTCATTTTACTTCCCTTGCTGGATGCTGACATAAAGTGGACGATCAGCATCCCAGCAACTGCTTGGTTCGACCTTGGGATTTTGGACCTAAAAGTCAGTTGGGACCTGGGTGCTGGACTTCTACTTTCGTAGCAAACGAGGGCACTCCCCTCAAGAGATTTCGGAACGGCGACGGCTGAATGGAAATGGAATCAACCCCTTCTTGAGCTCCCCACCGAACGCTGAAACCCGACCAATGGGTTCCCCAAAGCCAAAAGCAACCCTCCTACCCACTGCCTCCTATCGCTTTTGTTTTTTGGGAGAAAAATCGGTTGGGGGCCCACCCTTCGTTGGCGGTCCAAAGGATTCTCGGTTTGTGCTTGGTTGGCAACTCCCTTTCTTTTGCAAAAAAGAACCTTCCACATCACCTTGTCGCCCCAAAGAACCCCGACGCCTCATCAACCCACGTCGAAACCTCCCGTTGACTCCGCCCGTCGCATCTTCCGCCCCTCCAGCCACGAAGCCACCCGTCGAGTCGAGTCCGAGGTCGAGTCCGAGGTCGAGGCGAGTCCGAGATCCACGAAGCCACCCGTCGAGTCGAGTCCGAGGTAGAGTCGTCGAGGTCGAGTCGATCGAGGCGAGGCCGAGATCCTTGGTGAAGTTCACCGAGACCTCGCTGGGGGACAAGGTGTACTGCAGCGCCCCGAAGCTTGTGGCCACCTCCGGGTGCCAGTCCTGCGCTCGGGAGACTTCTGGCCATATGGCTGCTTACGCTGGCTTTGACCCACAGCAGTATAAAAGCAGCCAGGGGAACCTTCACTACAGCACATGGACAGGTCTTGCAGGGAAAAACCAGTGGAGATTCGGAAAATGGCGACCGAAACCCCAAAGAAACACATTTGGACCGTGGCAAAGGGTTACCTATACGGCTGGGATCAAGCGGAAGAAAGGAACACCGTTTGGTCCACCCCAATTTTTGGTTCCGATGGCTTCCAAAGCCTTTTATGTGCGGAGGGCAACAAAATCCTTTGGGCTTCTCCTTTAAAACAACCTAGAAAAAGGGGCGCAAAGGTAAAAACAAAGAGACGCAAACCATTTTTGTAGATCTTGAGCGGATTTGCTCTCCCCAAAACCCGCGACACATTTGGCCCGCAGCATCCGCCTGGAAGGAAATTGAGTCCGTGGAGGTTCTAATAAGCGGTTTTCCTTGTGGTTTCCGTTAACACCACTCCAAGGGGCACCCTCAAAAATAGACACACCCGTGTTTGCTTCTGGGGTGACACTGACAAGAAACAAAGAACACCATCCAGTACGCATCCGAGTGAGCTCTTCACTTCAAAACTTGGGCATGATAAGGGGCCCTTATACTCCTATTTCAAGCAGAACCTTGAAAACACTGTAGACATTGACATTGACAACCGAGCCGCGCAAGAGCGGAAGTACTTCCTCTGGGTTTTCCCTGGGGCTGGTTCTCCGCAGAGCTGGCTTCGCATCCCGCAATCGTCCACAAGAACGTGGACGCCCAGTTCATACAGTGTATCCGCCTCGCCTTGATACCCCAGCTTCTCCTTGAAGATCTTGATCGTGGTGAAGTTCACACCTTGAGCTCTTGCGTGCTTTCCAGCGACCTCATACTCCCCTTTCTGCCGTCTGGTTGGCAAGAAATGAAAGGAAGAACACACCCCACACCCCACACCCCACACCCCACACCCCACACCCCACACCCCACACCCCACACCCCACACCCCACACCCCACACCCCACACCCCACACCCCACACCCCACACCCCACTCCGTCCTCGCTGATGTCGGCATTGCCCAGCTCCGGGTACGAAGCGATGGCCGCCTGGGAGTGGCCAGGCAGGTCGAACTCCGGCATCACCTGCACGGCGAAAAACGCCGGCCGACGGGCGCTGGGTTTGCTTCTCGGTTCTTTCCCGCCGGCGGCTTTTGGGACCAGCGGACTTTTGTTTAAAACTGGGGGCTGGCAACCTGCGCGGAAAACTGGGGGCAACCTGGGGTGTACAAGCTGTATGTGGCTGGGTTCTTTCCATCCCTTTTTTTCACACACGTGGGTGCTGCAAAGGGCTCTTCTGGAAGTTGGCTTTGAAGGGAAACCACATTGAGACCACCTGTTGCAGGGTTCCCGTTTTGGGCTTGGTTTCAAGAGTACCAAGGACACCACCCATTTGGAGGTTCCGATTCCTATTTTGAGAGAAAGGCGACTGTTAAGGACTGCGAGGCAGGTGCTCCCCCTTACCCATGGAACTTGGAAGGACGGGAACTGCATACCGATCTGCCAAAAGGGGTGCTTCGTTAGGGATCTTGACCTTCATGGGGACCGAGCTCTTGCGTGCCTTACCCACATGGCACCACCTCACTGAAAGCTCTTGCAGCACCCCGGCAACCACTGGCAACCACTGCTTTGGACAGTACCAAGGGCGTTTTGGACATTGGGGAAAAACCAGTACCAAGGGCGTTTTGGACATAAAAGCTACTGTTGGTTGGCGGTTGGCCGCCGTTTTTGTGCAGGCCAGATCCGCGAAAATCTGCGCAGCCAAGCGGACGCGCAGAGTTCAGCCTGCCTCTTTGTGCTGCCTTCCTTACGGGACATCGCCGCTGGTTGGAAGAGTTTCCTTCATCTCAATCACCGCCTCGCATCCCCGCTGGAAGGTCGATGTGAAAATCGTGCTTGCTCTCTAGAAAGGCTTAGCCACAGGTGTCCTTTTTGGGAAATAGATGGGTTTCCCTGATAGATGAGAAAAATCCACCAGGTAAACCAGGATTCGCGTTCTAGTTTTTAAGCAAACCAACCAAACAAGGACACCTATGGCAAACCCTGCGCGGGCTCTGACCAAGCCGCTGGCTCCTGCATCGGCAAAACTCCACGGCAGACGCACTCAACGTGGTGGCCAGGTGACTCAAAAGGCAACATGTGCAGGGTGTGTCCTCCATTCCCCTTTTGGAACCTCCAGTTCCAATCGTTTTAAGATGGTTTTTTTGGGGGCACCGGTCTTGAACAATTCGGGGGATTTTAAGTGACCTCTGATAAAACAAACAACAGTTTCAGCTGATTTGAACTGAGCTGAATTAAGCATGGGCGATTTGGAAATTCCCAGTCTTTCCAGGGAAATAAAGCTTCATGAGTAGTCTCGTTTTCGCCCCTGGTTGGTGACCTCGTGAGAACATTTTCCTATGGCCCTCTTTCGGGTTCCATGTTGGTTTTTGGGAGAGCAACAACTAAAGCATTACCAGACACACAGAAAATCAACAAATACTCTCCGACCTCGGCGCTTAGAACACCCAATGATCGTGTTAGCGGTTCACGATCCGTTGCTAAAAGGAATCCACAAAACACATTGCCTTATGATAGCTTTTTTGGATATAAAGTACCCCGCAACCCCATGCAAGCAATCGAAGGCTTACATATAGTAAGAACTGCAAACAACTTGGTAGGTGTCCTTTTGGCGCTTTTTTGGGGGTAAGCACCACCTTTTAGATTTTAGGCCCGAGCTTTTGGGTGCTTGAGGCACATTCAACCCAAACCCCAAGTGGGCCAAGGGGAAACACTGGGCACTGATCGTTTTAAACAGGGATCCTTACATGAACAACACCTGAACATTGCCTTGTAAATGGTGGTTTCCAACTTTATTTCGGTGTTGAAAAAGCAACATGTTTCAAATGGTGGCAAAATGGAGATCTTTTCAGGAGCCCTGTTAAAGGGACACTGGAAGCTCACCCTCGACACGCGAGTTCGAGGCCTCGATGTGCAAAGACTCTGCAAGGCTCAAGATGTCCTCGATCTCCTATGCCGAATCTCTTCCTTGAGTGCAAACAAACATCATTCTAGGGGTTGATTCCCCATCCTTCTCAAGAATCAGCAATTTGCCCCGGGTTTTTGGTGGTTTTCCAGAAAGAAGGATCAATGGAAAGAATGGAATTGGAAGTTACCCCTAGAATCATCTGTTTTGTCGGAGGGGAAAACGGCGAAAATGGCGGGTTTTGTTCAACCGATTAAGGCCGGCGACTTGTGAAGGTGACATGGTTGGAAGGCACACCCTTGCTCTTGTTACCTTTCTTCCGGTTTTTGTGTACGGGTGTTTTTTTTGAGTGGGTACCCCTTTTTTGGTGGTTTTAAAAGGGAACAACCAACAGGACAACCCACCCTTTTGGGGCTCCAAATTTCCCACAAAGAGATACCTCATGAGCCCTTCAGGGCTTGAAAGCCGCAGCCTGCCTGGCCTTTTTGGTGTCTCGAGCCTGGGGTACTTATAGTTTTTGCTTTGAAGTTGACATAAACATGTTTGTACTCAGTGCTTTCATGCCATGAAAGCGCGTAGCTATCACGTGAAGCCGAAGCTAATGGCATAGCTGTCTCATATGCGTGAGACAAGGAGAAAATGAGACAATGTGCTGACCATAGCCCATATGAAACTGCGGGTTCTCGCAAACATGTAGGACAACGCAAGCCAGTGCCGCTAAGTTGAGGAGTGTTCGCAGAAGGGAACCCCTCCGGCTTCGGCGCAAGGGCTAGAAGACTGGAACGAAACCAAAGGAAACGATTTCACTTCAGCTTCCGGAGGAGCGTAATCAGGGTTCCCCGATTTAAGGAAGTCAACCCAGGTTTCTCGACGTCCGGTAAAACTACAGTCTTTGCTTGACTTGACCTCGTTCGTGCCGTATAAACGCGCGTAGCTATGTGTTGAAGCGACATGTTTCAGTTGAGCTGTCGCATCATGCCTTTTTCTTAAGGGCGCGCCGGGAAGCTTTTTTCTCGGCCCTTTGGGGATCAACCCGAAACCCGCCGACTCCGCACCAACTCCGGCAACACGCCTGGCCTCTAGGGTGCCTGTTTGGCGCAAGCCTCTTGTTTTCCTCATAGGTGAATCCCTTTTAACGCTCCCAAAAAAAGCCAAAACTCCCCACCAACTCCACGCCAACAACCCCTGGCCTCTACGGTCCTTTGGCTACTCCGGTCCTTTGGCTAAACCCAAAACCCGAAACCCAAAAGCCAACTCCGCGAACTCCACACCAGCTCCAACTCCGTGGCCTCTACGGTGTAGGAGTGGTTGTAGGGTACCTCATCCAGCTGCTTGGCCTCATGGCCCTTCTGCGTGGCGCGGCGGTACGCGCCCAGCCGGATGAGCTGCGGGAACTTGTGGACCGGGAAGCGCCAGCCCTGGTCGTCCGTCAGGTGCCAGTGGAAGTGGTTCAGCTTGAAGAGGGCCATGGTCCTGGAAATTGGACCCTTTCAGGCTAGCTTTAAGTGGGCCTGTCTTTTTTTTCCGAAAAAGAAAAAACAACCTTTCTGTCTGGGATTAGGGATCCTATTGGGGGGGGGGGTCTGGAATATGCGGCTTGAAGAGGGCCATGGTCCTGGACATTGACACGCACTTTTTGGTAAATCCTGGCTAGGTCCTCTAGTGGCGAGGTTAGAATAAGGATACCGCTGTTTTTCTCTCTCTTTTTTTCTCCTTGTTTTCTTCTTCTTCTTCTTCTTCTTTTTTTTTCTGTACCTAGGGCTTCAAGAACCTGTAAAAATGTCGTACCCTGACTAAAACATCGTGTTTTTCACGATATTCTGAAAACATCGTGTTTTCAGGAAAAACATCGTGTTTTTGATAAAACCCCTTAAAACTGGGCTTCTGAGGCCAAACACTCATTTGGAGCAAAGGGTCAAAGGCAAGGGTCGGGAGTGGATTCACACAGACATCACCCATTAAGATTTCAACTGAGGGCAACGCTCTATATTGAGTATGCTTCAAATTCTTTAGACCACATTGATGAGCCTGACAGCCAGGGTGTGCAGCTGGCTTCAGTCTTGAAGTACCTTTCACAGCAACAGGCACCTGAAGACTGGCGCCAGGTCATACCGAACCAGTTTGAAGGGGGTGCTGGAATCCGAAAGCTCCTTTTGGTGCAAAACAAGACCAGGTGACACTTTTGAGATTGTTTTTTTAGAAAATGGGGCGGGATCCTGGCGGCTAACCGCAGAAACCCGTAGAAAACCCGTAGAAGCCCGTAGAAAACCCGTAGAAACCCGTAGAAAGCCCGCAGCCCCAACCGAAAACATCGTGTTTTTGGAAAACATCGTGTTTTCTAACCCGTAGCTAAACCGTGGAGAACCCGTAGTAAAGCGTGGCAAAGCGTGGAAATTCTATGGGTTTTTCGGGTTCAACCACGAATGCGCTAATTCGAGAATGTTGCTGGAAAACAACGAAGTCGTGAGCAAAAGCACGGTCTTTGCTTGAGCTTGCGCGCTGTTCGAAGCCAGCACGCCCTGATCATGGCACTGCTGCTTGACAAGTGTCATAAAACCGTTGTACTTTTGACTATTTGGGTCCCCGGCCTCCTTCTTTCAGGTTGGAGTTGCGAAAGACGAGTGGCGAATGCGAAGCTGATTTCGTTGCGAGTGCAAAAGGGGAGGGCGATGGGAGATTCTGAGGTTGAGATGATGCTTTTGAGATCTTTTGAGAACGGATGACGAGTTGAAGGAATGTATGGGAAACTGCTTGAAATCGAAAATGCGGTGTTTCCCGAAAACATCGTGTTTTCCCAAAAAAAAACATTGTGTTTTTTGTAGGTATGACATTTTCATCGGTTTTTGAGGCTCCTGGTAGTCTATTTTAGTAGGGGAACCCTCCCCCAAAAATGGGTAAAAGGGCACTACTGGGGGACCTAGCTGGGTACCAAAACCCACAGCTTGCGGTGTCTCTTTAAGGATGAGAGATCCAATTCGTGTCTGAAAAATGTGGCTTGAAGAGGGCCATGGTCCTCTGGAGCTTCTCAGAAACCGCACAGTTTTAAGGCTCTAATGTTTACACAAATCTTAAAATGGCGGGTCTGGAATATGCGGCTTTGAAGAGGGCCATCGTCTTCAACGTCAAACCCAAAATGCATTTCCACTCCACCAGCTGCGGCCAACGTCAAATCTGCTGTTGGCCCCGGCTTAAGCAATCCTGGCGAACTGGTGAGAGAAAGCTTCCTCCAAAAGTGGAGGTCAAGCCCTCCGAACTGACCAGGAATTGCGACCTTTTAAGCCGTGAAATAGGTCCCCGACTTTGCTTGCCGCTGCGATGAGGGATCCAACTGGTGGTTTTCTTTCTTTGGGAAACTCCCCAGAAATTCTGTCCATGTCTCATTCCCCACCAAAAAACAAAACAAAACAAACAAAACGCGCCAGCGAGTTTGAGAAGGTCAGATTCAATCCACGTCTCATTCCCTCCAAATCTGCGCAGCTTGAGGTCACGGCTGACTCGACTCGACACGCGACTCGACTCGACTGCTCCTCAGCAAATGCTTCACCTCCGACGGCTCGAAGAAGTGCCGGCTCACGTCCAGCCTCCGAGCTCGGAACTCGGAATTCGGAAGTCGCGTCGTTCGCCGCGCCCGCGGTTTTGGGGGTTTGGCTTCTGGGTGGCTTTGCCTGGCTGGCGGTTTTTTCTTTGGGATGTGAGTCTTGGGTGTGGGCTTAGGTGTGGGTTTAGGGTTGCTTCCGAGCCATTGTTTCAACATCTGTCGAATTTCCCTGGGGCCGAATCGGGTCTTAAACTAACTAACTTCGCATCCAACCCCGGTCCCCTGGAAAGGGCGCCATCCATTCGGGGGTGCCTCCAGTTTGACACATCCCCGTTTGAAACTATTTCGGGTGGTGGATTTTGTTGGGTGCCCCGCTTTGAAGTCGTTTCAAAGGGAAACCAATGTGAACACCACATTCTTGTTTTGCCCCCCCCCTTCAACACACACACACACACGCATTTTGCGTCACCGGTGGTCGACAGCAACTGTTGCGTTATTTCAAGCCCGCACGTTCTTTCTCGCCGGCCGCTTTGGTGTCTTTGGAGTTGGTACCCTCTTGTGCTTGGTTTTGAATGGACACCAAACGGAGCACCCTTTTTCGGGGTCTCCAATGGGTTGTGTAGCTTGGAGCGGGCAGTTGCGTGGCAGGTTTAGGCGGATCGCAGCAAAAGGAACATACAGGAATGGATCCCTTTGATTTTGGGAATGATCCTCCATCCGGGTCCCGACTGCTTTGTTCCGATGTCAAGCCATAGTTGCAGTTGGGACCCGGGTGCTGGTTGACTCCGAAGTTGCTGAAGTCTTTTGGGTTCTTCGCCAGCACCTAACGGGTCCATTTCGAACCATGTGGTCAGGACCATAGGCGTCCTTTTAAGGGAAATAGATGGGGTTCCCTGGTAGACGATTAAACCAGGTAAACCAGGAATCGCCCTCTTTTCTTCCACCAAAACAACCAAAGACACCTGAGTCACAATCAAAACCCGGTATTAAAATGGTCGTAATCCCAGAACCATGCTTCAAGAATTAAGAAGGCGGATCTCCGCAGCTATTCATGGCAAGGGAATTGTCCCTTACTTACCCAACCATCTACCCAGGTTTTGAGCAAGTGGCATATATATGGTCAAGACCCGTTTGCTTTTGGGTGCTGGGACCGAGGGGCATAAGGCCTCGCCATTTCAAGGCGGGCGCATCTTCGATCTCGGCGAGAGGCAGCATCCAGCCGCGCTTGCCTCCGGAGCACGCGCAAGCGAAAAGCCATTTTCAGGTATGAGCTTTGGAGATGTGAGACGTACCACCTATAACTGACGTTCAAGCTTGTGTTGGTGGTATATATGCATCCATCCCGCCAAAACCCATACCTGAAATTTGATTTTGACCTTGGACGTGTCTCAACCGGTCGGCCTCCTTTTAATTCCGTGTCATAACCCTCAACTGCCCTTAAAAGAAGGACATCATAAAAAAAAAGTAAAGCCATAGAAAAGAAACCCTTTCGCCCCCTAAACCCTAAACCCTTAAAACAGATAGACCCTTGGGGCCAAATGCACTGGGCAAGCGCCAGAAAGGGGCCCAAACGCTGTTTGGCTGCTACCGTCCGCAAAAAACAGGCAGCCCTGGACATCCAGACAAGTGAAAGAACGCGATACATACATGTCTGTCTATGTGTGTCCTCACATCCCCGCGAAAGGTTTAACTTGTAGTAGGTTAAATGGAAATCCCCACAAAAAAAAAGAGATAAATGAACAAAACACAAAAAAGCCAACCAGCTAAGAAACCGGATGCCCTACATGGACGTCCCCACTGAACACTAAAAAGCTCAACTGCTAAGGAACCGCATGGCTGGGAGCCACCCAGAACCCCCTCCCCTCGCCTTTCTTCAGCATCTGGCGTAACGTCATAACTGCATTGAAGAGGCCGTGCTCCGTAGCCTCTGCGCGACGGCGACAGCCAGTTGAGATCTGCAGATGCTTGCTTTCAGCTTCTTTCGTTGCCCCCGTTGGGAGAGTTTTGCAAATTATGGGAGTTTTGCAAATGAGAAACATAAGTTATCCTTCAAACACTTGAGCGCCACTTAAGAACATCCACTTAAGCACCTTCTCCAAACACTTTCTTCATCCTCGGTCACCAAACGGAGCCTAGGAACAAGAAGGGCTTTGAGCGAGCCCACCGTGGGCTTTCCAATCCAAGCCCCTAGGTACATCCGCACACGTTCTTAGTGCTAACATAGCAAGCACGCGCGACAAAGCGAAGCGATGAAACCTTGGAAAGCCGAGTACAGGGGAAACCTCCCGAGGCTCCCTTGCGATAGAAAATGAGATATAAGCCCAGTCCAGAATCCATCATATTGGTGAGTGTGTTTTGTGTTTGAGTCTCACTCTAGAAACGAGAAGGGAAACCACAATTTTGGGGTTCACCCTACTTTGACACATGCCCAAATGAAGAATCCCAGCCCCCGGCCAGCTACCCGCAAGAGTGAGACGGAGACCGGGTGGTACCGAGTCTCGGCGTCTCGAAACGGAGCGCCTTTCTATTGGCATTTCCTGTGGGGCGTCGCAAAGAAACGGGAGACGGTTGAAAATGACATGGGAGGCTCCGGCATTTCGGGGTGGCATTCCTGGTCTCTGTTTGGATTCCTTGTGAAACACAGAACATGGTACCGAGACGAGCAACAAAGACACACCCATGTTGAAAAATCCGCCATGAAACAGACCAAACTGACATTCCTTCTCTTACACACATGCTTGGGCATGGTGTCCAAACAACCCCCTCCAACTGGTCACTTATGGTTTTCCATTCACAGGGGCTCTTGAACCACGCTGACACGTCCTCACTTGATTTGTGCCCATCAGTTTGAAGCGGTCCATCGAATTGCATGTTTGCGAAGGAGAAGAAAACGGAATCCTGAGGAGCCCAATAGTTGTCTACTTTTGAGACATCTTGGGGTTAGAGGTCTTGCAAGCTTCCCCAAAAGCAACCAACTCACCTTTCTGCGGCCATGGGAGCGCGTCTTTGTTGGACTTGGTATCTCATTTGGGTTGGATTTGAAGGAATACGACCATTTTGGGCGATCCCCCCGAAAAAAGAAAAACAAGAAAAAAGACCACCGCATACCCACAGACAGTCAATGCAAGATCAAAGGGTTCTAAGGCGGACTTCCACGCGGTTAACATCTCATCATGGAAGTTTAGGTGACGACTCAGACAAAAGTTACAGTAGCTTCCCCCAGATTAAAAAGACAAAACAAAAAAACAACTACTACCCGGATTGCGGATGGACGCGGACACAACCCCAGGTTTGGCGAATGAAAACTTCGACGGACACCTCCGTCCGAAGAACAGGAAAGGGCACCACGGAGTTCTGAGCAGAATGCCCCACACTTCACCTAGCATTAGGAGAGCAACATCTCACCCTGCGTTTGGCTCAACAGGTGATGTTTACCATCACGCAAAAAGGAACTATGGCATAATACATGAGAGACATGGGGATTGTAACTTCTTCCATTTGCTTAAGTCCCCTGAAACAGGAAACACATATTTCCAGTGGTGATTCGATTGGCCCCTTAAACCAAGGAAGACTTTAAGATATTCTGAGATGCACTTGGAGCCTGAAATCGGAATCTTTAAACAAGTGACCCCACACCAAAACTGAGTGTCCCAACTCGGTCACTTGGATGCCAAGTGGCTGCCTCCAGCCGAACCCCTTGGCCCGTGACGTTCAGAAGGTACGACTCCTGAAAAAGGCACAGGCGGAAAGAGGTGCGACGCGGCAAAACCAATTGAGTCACACTCAAAACCGATCGGTACAAGAATGAGCCCAGAACCCTGCTTCAAGAATTCGAAAGCTGGATCTCCGCCACTGTTTCCGGCGACTGCCCCCCAATTTTTCATCAGTCCCCGGGCTTGGCTCCGCCTGTGGCTCAATGGTTTGGGGGGGCCCGGCCCGTCTTTTTCCATCGAATCGGACGTTCGTGGACCGATGGGCCTGGGTCACCTGGGTCTTAGGGACGTCCCGTTACCACCACGTGCCAACTCGAAAAAACAAGAAGAGGGACGAGCCAAGCATTTGAAATTCCTTTTCCGCCCGGAAAACCGAGTATTGTGATAGACGCCCAAATCAACAGGGGGAATTGTATTTTTCCGCCTGAATCAAAACAGCACCCCCCCTTCCCTTAATAACTGTTTTTACCCATGTCCAAAATCCCCTTGGCGAGTCAACCAAAAAGCAGTGGCTTGGAGCCGGGTGCTGGAGTGAATGGCGTCGTCCTGTGGGCACATTCAACAACACCAGGTGTGTAGCTCAATAACTCTGAGCAGCTTGGTCAATCCAACACCTTCACCAAACGATACAAATCAATGTCTGACACATATGTATCTACATATATATATGTATAATACATATATCTATATATATATATACATAGATACATCTGTGCTCGAACCAACTTTTAGAAGCCACTAACGGCCGAGAGATCCTGAACCACATCCAACCCCGACATGAATCCAACTCCCCCCCCCAAAAAAAAAAACACAAAACTAATGAGGAACACATTCTCAACACCGTGACACCAACATGAGCGCATGGCACTGACCCAGCTGACCGAAAGAATTCAACTTGGAGTTCAGTCGCTGAAGACAAGTTTGAGGCCCAGGAAGACGGGCTCAAATTCAGAAGTTCCCTCGAGCCTAGGGACACCTCCCAAACTGCCTCAGTCACGGCTTCCGAATCGGATCCAACGGTCAAGGGAGGGATCCCGCGCAACTTGACCTGGGGCAAGGGCTTGAAGAAAAAAAACCGGTTGCCACTGGCGCAAGATCCGTGTGCGCCCGGTTCCAAGCTTTTTGCGGCCCAGCATCAAAGACCACTTAAACAGGGGCACAGGGGGGAAGTGCCGTTTGGTTGGGTCATTGGGATTGGAACGACCAACTTGCTGGTTCGAACGAGACATTCCCTGACCATCCCTTCCGCCTCTGAAGCATCACCCGCGGTCAAATGCAGCGACAGCAGCGCAGTGTCGGCCTGGACGAAATGTTGTAGTCTCAGCGGAAGTATTCGCACTTGGCGCCGGGCCAACCACTTGATGAACCACGCAAGTGGGCCATCACTGCTACATTATTACATCAACACTGTGGATGGACGAAACTCCCATTTCGCACCCAAGACACCCCTGGAATGAGTCGCTTCCCCGGTAAATGCCATATCAACCAACGGTTTCAAACTGTTGCCCAACAGATTTCGTCCACACACTAACCAAAAGTCATGAGAACGCATGCAAGTCCAAGGCTCACCTGACTCCAATCTTACTCATTTGCCGCTTGGCTCGCCTTTTTTGAAGTTGGTACCAGGCTCTTGAAAAAACACACCAGGAATTTGTCCACCATGGCTCGTCCGTTCGGGAGTTTTTCGGTTCAGGGGGAACCACCAGGAGAAAACCCCAAGACCATCTGGTCATGCCAATTGGGACCCTTCGCCCGCTCGTGAGCCGCTCGTGGGCTTCGGGGCTTCAAGTCCAACCCCACCAGTTTTGTCAACATCAATCCCACCCCCAACACCTGGGGAAAAAGAGAGAGACCAGCTTTGTGCAATTCAACAACAACAAAAAACGTCTGCCCCACCCCACCGTCTGCCCCATCCCACACCCATCCCACACCCACCCCCACCCAGCCCCACCCCCACCCTCACCACCACCCCCACCCACCCCCACCCCACCCCAACGTCTGCCCCACCCCACCCCACCCTACGCCATCCCACCAAGACTTTTTGGAAGAAAGAATCACAAGACCCGCCAAATCCATCCCACCCCCAGGGAAGCTGAGCCTTTGGAAGTTGCGACCCTGCGCCAAATTTTGGGACCTTTCACCTCGCATTCACCAGCTCCGCTGGCACCAAAAGCACCGCTGAAAACGTTGGAGTCTTTTTTGGGGATTTTACTGACCCTTTAGATTCCCCCTTTAAACCAGGGGAAACTGTAAGATATTCAAATCAGCAACCGGAAGACATATCTTTTTCGAATAGAAGGGTGTGTCTTTATTTCGGCGACCCATCCAAAATGGCGTCGGTTTTCCTGGTGATTCCCCCTTGAATGGAAGGTTTTAGAGGGACACTAAGCATTTTGGGGGGTCAAACCCATTTGTTTGACCTGGTCTTCGAAAGAAAAATCGCGCATCGTCTCGGGGGATCCGGCAAGATGCTTTCTGACAGGAAACTAGAAGAATTCTGGGCGGCTCGTCTGTTGAGGGAACCCTTTTTGGTTTAAAAGGGAACTCAAATGAACACGAAGATCCATTTTGGGGGGGCGATTCCTATTTTGAGACAATCCCATATACATACTCCCAAACATCATACGATATTGGTGGGTTTTGTTTAGGATTTGGACCCGCAAATGGTGGTTTGCCTTCTTGTTTTCCTTTAAAACCCAGCATGGAACTCCAACTAGGCACTCCTTTCCCGGAATACACTCCCCACCGGTATTCAAACAAAATCAAACTCCAGGCACGCCTTTAGGATTTCCTGGCACCCTCAATTTAAGAAACACCCATGAGAGGGCCAGGAAAAAAAAGGGAAAAAAGATGAAAAAAACGACTTGCCATCTACCGGAGAAAGGATGACATTGGACTCGCAGCAGAGACTCTGCAAGTTGTAGCATCTAATTCCAAAAGCTGAAGTCAGGGATCCCGAAAGGACGTTTGCTCGTTGCCCCAACATGAGCTCGCTTTAGGCAGATTAGATCAGAAGCTAGGTCCTCCGGTAGAGAGGTTAGAATAAGGGTACCAACTTTTTTCTGTAGTCCTCCCCCCAAAAAGAAACGGTAAAAGGGCACTGGGGGACCTAGGAAGGGTTCACTGCACTCCTCGCAGATCAGCTCACCGCTCGCCTCGCGCTCCTGGACGGAGGTGCCCATCATGGGCGCCAGAAACCTCAGAGCGGCCCAAACAACCAAGCAACCAACCGACCAACCGACCGAACCGAGCAACCAAGCAACCAAGCAACCAAGCAACCAAGCAACCAAGCAACCAAGCAACCAAGCAACCAAGCAACCAAGCAAAAGCCAGTCTGAGCAAGTCTGAGCAAGTCCGGGCAAGTCTGAGCAAGTCTAAGGCAGCCACCCAGCCAGCCAAACTGAGACAAAACACAACGGGACAAACCAACACGGCACTGCGAGGTCCAAGTTTCAACTCCTCAAGCAACTTACACGCCGTTCCTACTCCTCAAGAAGCCAACAAAACAACAGCATGTGTCTGCAGACTCCAAATGCTTCACCGTTGCCCGAACTGCTAACTCTAGATTAAATGAGTCGCAATCAAAACCTGGTGCAAAAATTGTGAACCCAGAACCATGTACAGGATTAAGAAGGCGGATATCCGCAGCTATTTCTGGGTGGGATCGTCCCTTACTAACCTTCATCTACCCAGGTTTTGAGCAAGGCATTATGCTTGGCTGGAATTAGGACCCCAGCAAAAAAATATCTGTTTTGCCTGGTTCGTGGAAAACAAAGGACACCCCAAAAAAGCAAAAAAGCAAAAAGGGGAACAACTTCTGGTGAAGAATGGAGGTTCGAGGGACACCGGGACTCGGGACCCAACCGTTTTGAGAATTCATGCCACCACATTCCCCGGCCCAAGACATAGTAGATGTTCAGGGCCCTGCTTAAGTCAACCTTAAAACAGTAAGCCATTCTGGAGACCCCCCCCCAAAAAAAAAACCACCAAAAACGAAACGCCACAACTAGCAAAGGGTTTTGCGCTCCAGATCGTGTCTTTAGATTTCGATTCATCTTTCAAACTAGCCCTGGAAACATGAGAACATATTTCCAGTGCGTAGATTAACAAACACCAAGACCCTTAGCGCAGACTCTGGCTGAGTTACTCGTCCAGCACCCGCAGCAGGCTGCTGGGGCCATGAGCCGAAAGCTCCGGCAGCTCCAGAAAACCCGGGATCCTCCGGCGATCCATCGGTACCGGAGTAGGAATCGGACCCCAAAATGGGATTTCCGTGTTCATTTGGTTTCCCTTTGAACAAAAACAAAAAACAAAGGATACCCTCAAAGAAGACACACCCAAATGCAAAAAGGAAATGGAACGCAGGACACCTCCAAAGCCTCTAAACATTTGCTAAACCCAGAGCTCACGAGGGAAACACGGAGAGCACCCCCCAACAACTAACAGCTTTTATTCCGAAGCGGGGAGATATTCGGACCTTCGGAGGTGCGTATGGTTGCCCACCTGCTCAGGGTCCCCCCTCCGTGAGACATATGGTCCAATTGTGCAACCACCTCCTTGTTTGCAAATCCCCTGCTAAAAGCGACTAACCCTTTAGTGACGGGTAAATGGACACCAAACCACTAAACCCGCTAAACCCAAGTAAACAACTTAAGTTGAACCGGACGATTCGCTGGGAACCGTCAAGCCATGTGGCAGTGGCTTTCTGTATGCTTATGTTAACCCACCTTAGCAGGCCTCAACAAAAAAAACATGCGCCTAACCACAGACCTTTTGGAAAAATATATTTAAACCAGTGGTTAACCCATCTGCTTGTTGCTTCTTGGCAGCAACAAATCGATTCCTCGCGTCATCTCTTGCCCCCCCCCCCGTTGACGGTCCTTCTGACAGATCTGGGCTGCGGAATCAGTGCCAGCGCCTCCCAAAAAACGCTTGGGGCGGCGGTAGGCTTCGCACTGGAACCAGGGCGCGTCTCTTTTTTTCTTTGACATGGGAAGGTGAAATAGCAAAAATGGTTAGTTTCCCTTTGGTTCTCCTTTAATGTCGACCTATGATTAGCCCCCCGATTAAAGTTATGTTGTGGGCCGGCACTGATTAATACCCCCCCCCCCCAATAAAGTTATGTTGCTCTTTTGCGGGGAATCCACACACACACACTCACAAAAAACACACCAAACAACACACGCACGCACACCCGCCAGCATCATCTCAACCTCTTCCACTAGCTGGTCTGATTGGTCAGTATCTGCCTCGCCAGCCTTAAAATTTCAGATCTACAAAAAATACCAGCTCCCAAACTGCAAATTATCTACATACTCCTCTTTAAAAAGTGCCCCCCAATCAACCCACAAGGGGGGTAGTACTTGGGGGTTGAAAAAAACATCATTTAGGGCCCCCCTAAATAAAGATTCCTGGTTGCCCCACCCCGAAAAAAACAAGAAAGTCACCGGCAATACTACAACAATTGGAAACTCAAATCCCTCAAGTCAAATCACAAAAGGAGGCTCCAGCTATACTAAACCAGTTGAACCTCAAATCCCTTGTCAAGCCAAATCTCAAAAGGAGGTTCCAGCAATACTAAACCAATTGGAAACTCAAATCCCCCAAGTCAAATCTCAAAAGGAGGCTCCAGCAATACTAAATCAATTGAAAACTCAAATCCACCAATACTAAACCAATTGGACACCCGAATCCAATCTCAAAAGGAGGCTCCAGCAATACTGCAAGTTGGGAGAACTATTTGGGGAGGGAAGTTGTTTGGGGGTGTGTGTTTATTATTCAGAGGTAGGCATTAACCACTCCGAAAGGGGAACCACCTCCGAAAAAGACGCCCGGGGCCATGCGCTGCCTCGTTGCGCAGCATGGACTTGTCCACATGGACCTGCAGCAGCGAGGAGCCCTCCTCGGAGCGATCGAAAATTCTCCGAGCCGATGGACGTTGCTTTCAAAAGGGGAGAGTTGGCTGTGCCTCAAAATTAGACAGGAGGGGCAAACCGCAGGTTGTGGTCCATGTTTCCACTTACCAGGGTTCCATTTTGGTACGGGTTTTTTGAGCCACAAAGGCAAACCGCAGGTTTTGGTCCATGTTTCCACTTACCAGGGCAACCCATTTTGGGGTTACCCGGGTTTTTGAATTCGCCACAGCCAGTTCTGAAATGAGTCACTTGCTCAACACCGATCGGTACAAAAATGGTGAACCCAGAACCATGCTGCATTCAAGATTTAGAACGGCCGCAACTATTTCCGGCTGGGACTGCCCCTTGCTAACCTTCATCTACCCGGGCTTTGAGCAAGTGGCTCAAATGGTGCAACGGTTCCCCTTACACCAACCAACAAGGGAGCCAGACAATTGACTGTGCAACAAGTTTTGGCAGGATCACAGGATTCCGAATCGAAAGTTGCAATTGACTAGCCCATGAAACTGCCGCCGTCTAAGAAAATTGAACTCCCGGTGTGTGTGTGTGTGTGTCTCTTGTTTTGAGGGTACCCCTTGAGTGGTCTGAAAGGGAAGCCATTTTTTGGGGGTACCCCTGTTGCGGCTTCCCACTAATTGGTGGCTTGGATTGGTGGTTTTGTGGTTGCCGGTTTTCCATCCAAACCACAAGCAGGGCTTCAAATCCAAATCCAAACCACTCCGGCCGCGACTTTCTGAGACACACCTATTCAGGGATTCGGGGACTGGCAGCTCCAACATCCAAAGCAAAAGCCACACTCATCTGTCCGGGAATTTGTGGGGCTACGTGTTCCTGTTGGAAACCCCGAAAAAGCACACCTTTTCACAGGCGCCCCGAAAAACGAGAGGCACAGGCCCGCGTTAATTGGTCCCTTTGCGGAAAAAAAGGAAGGGGGCTACAATGGACCAAATCCACTTCGCAGCAGATTGAAGGTACTGCAGCCTGAGATTTCATGCCAACTGGTGCCGAACGGCGTGGATGTCGGCACCATCCAGAAATAAATGCTGGCTGTATATCCCAATAAACCCCTGGTGGCTTTGCTTGGTTGGGTTTATACAACCACTATACTTTGGATGGCTGCTTGGTTGGTTGATTGTACACAACCGCAGTACTGTTGACCCTGCATGAGTCTACCCCCCGGGGCGGAGGGGGGGTTTTGTTCCCCGATCAAAATCAACCAGCGGTTTCTTGGTCCAGGGTTCCCCCCGCCTTTTTTTAAAATACAATTTCAGGCATGGAACCCTTTTTCCTGACCAAGGAGTTCCCTCAAAGGTGGGCGGGTCGCTTGGTTTGGTCGCTGTTTGGGACTCTAAGGCCAGGACGAAACGCTCGGAGTAGCACTCATGCCGCTCCTCTGGATCGCCCGGGCCGGTGACGTTCGAAGACGCGGAAGGTGGGGGGTGACGTCCCATTTTCGGGGTGGCCGAAAAAAAACGGGAAAAAAACACGTGGAGTGTGTGGTTGCTTGATCCGGTTCTGTGGCTTTATTAATTCGAGTTCTCAACATTCCGTGTTGGTGTCTCGTGTGGTGTTGATCGTTTCCTCTGTCATTTGTTGTTTGGTTGGCTGGTTCCCCCAAAGGAGACCAGACCCGCTGGTGGCTCATGTTCCCGACATCGTTCATTTGGTTCATCACAATGTTGTTTTGGGGTTCCCAGCAGCACAAAATTGATTTCTGTGGTGGCAGGTGTCATTCTTGATTCATTTGGCTGTGGCTCAAAAGAGTGGTACCAAAATGGCACCTCGGTAAATGGAATCAAAGACTAAAACCCGCGGTTTGCCCCAGCTCTTTGATTTTGAGCCATACCCATTTGGTGCTTCAGATTTGTCTCTCGGTTCCCGAAGGAGAGTTCCAGAACTCGATGCCTGTCTCATTTTCTCCTGGGAGACTGGCAGGCGCAAACTGAGGGGACCGCCAGCTCCTTGTGAAACCCCGTGGACGACACCTTTAAGGGAGTTGGGTACCACACAAAGTTGGCTGGAAGTGGGAACTAGCTCATTTTCCCACCAAATTGAGTGGTTAGTGTTTCGAACCAGAGATTGTGTCCAAAAAGTGAGTGGTTAGTGATGAGTGGGAGCCAGCTCATTTTAGTCAACCCAGAGATCGACAAAGAGAGATTTCAGCAATGCGCAAAAGTAAATGCCACTGGTAAATTATATCGTCCTCTTTACCGCACGACCTGCAAGAATCTGTGTCATCGATTACAAAGTCAGCATTTTGCCAACTGGTCTTAAGATTCAATCGCGCAAAGCTCTTCGTTGGTCCCTTTGATAGTCTCTCTTCCTGAGTGAACTGGCCAAAAGTTCCTGCACTTTTTGCCACTAAACTGGTGCCAAAAAGTCTAAAGTTCAGGGAGTGAGTAGTTGAATCGCATCTCGCTTCCTTTTCTGCTCCGCTGCTTAAAAGCTTAACTTTTAGTGGTTTAATTGGCAAACCCATGAGTTGGCAAAAAGTTAAAGTCCTAACATCCAAGCAACATGCACCAAAGGCATGGTCGATTGCCTGCCTCGTCTCCTGGTATTGAGTCAGCTGACCCAGTCAGTTTGCACATGAGACGGGGGTCCCCAGGCCCCAAAACGACCAGCGATTTGATATGCACCCATCTGCCAGCAACAAGTCGCCCTAAAAAAACAAAAACAACGGCACCGAAAACCCGCAAAAACTGGGAGATTGTCCTAAACACGGGGCGAATTCTTTGGTTGATGGGTTTCAGGGTAGCACCTCATTTTGCTTCCCCTGTGATGGCTCCGCGCTCCTCACGTGCCCAAGCCTTGGAGCGCGGGAGAAAAAAACCGCTGGGTTTGGACTCGGGGGGTGTTCTGTTCACCTTCCAAAAGGAAAACCACGATGAAGCTCGGCTGCCCGTTTTCAGATCCCCTGCTACAAGATTAACTAGTGGGTGAAATGGAAACCCCCACTAAACCCTAAAAGGCTACAAAGCTAAGGGGATGGCCGGGAGCCACCAAGGAAAACAAAAACAGGTTTGGCTTCCCTTTTTGTGGGACCGACCCGAGGAGAGGTTGCAAACAATTCGTCTCAGCTCACCTTTTGGAGCCCTCTCGATTTTTGATACCTGCGCATTCAGAAGAACCTGCAAGTTTCCGCGTCCTCTTTGGTGAAACATGGAAAAGCCACGACGTGGAGCGGCTGAGTCAGCCACGGATGTTTGGTGGAACAAAGTTGCCGGCTTCTGTGAAATCGCAAAGTGGTTGATTCCCATAAGAGCGCAGCTTCAATTGCGCCTTTCAATTTGTGTTGAGTTCAAAAGCTGAGCGAATCCAATTAACCACCTTGGCAACTTGGTGTTTCGCGCCCGGGAAACCCACAAATTCCATGCTGAGCACGGCGAAATGGACCCCCCCTTCCGGGCCCCTCGAGCCAAATATGTCGGGGGGCTATGGGGACAGGGGGATTTTCCAGACGCCGTCAACTCAGTGACTGACTCCGGCCTTCCATTTCTGGAGACTCAAAAACAACGCGTGACAAGTGGCGGGTCAAACAAAGGTAGGGGGCTCCCAAAAGCTGCTGAAACTTCCCTGGAAAAAGAACACCTGCCCTTTAAGGCCGAACAAACATTGACGAGCCACCCACACAGTCGAAACCATCTCCCGGAAAGGTGGTTTATCTTTCTGCCTTTTTGAGACCTTCTCTGTTTGGGTGCGTCTTATAGTGGACTCCCAGGAATGACGTTTCCCCCGAAACGTTGAAGCTTCCCTAGACCACTGAAAAGTACCCCCCCCCCCCCCGCCGCCCCCCAAGGGGGAAAAACAACCACAACACACACACAGAACAGATTGCTAGTAATTAGAACCAACAACACCTCCTGTTGGTTTCCCGTTCAAACGTCCTTTTCCCCTCCCCCCCCAAAAAAAAATGCCAGCCAGCCAAAACGTGTCCCCCAACACGAAGACGTGTTTCCCCCGTGTCCGGACCGACCACAGAGATCCTACTGGACCACCGAAAGGGCACTGACCCAAATATCTATCCAATACATGAGCATCCTGAAAACACAAATACCTTTATTTACTCTGATTGAGGGGAAATCATTTAAACAACCTCATGCCCCCCTGTCTCTTGCATTTGGTTTCTTGTAAATGCTGGGCTTCCTCTTCGTTGTTTGGCTTGCAGCCGCTGTGGATTCCTTAAAAGGTGCAAGTGAACCAACCACGACGCAACCACCCAGCAGGGTGGCATTCATAAAATTAGACCTTTTCTCAACCTGGGCTGCTTTTTAATCCAAGCCCTGGTCAAGCTGGGTAAAATGCGCGTTTCTTACGATCAACTAGCTGAGTGAGGAGGTGGAGGGAGGAGCGCGCTCCACTTTTTGACTACCCCAAGATAGACTTAAACCCAGGGTTCTCCTTTTGGGGGTCATGAACCACCCCTGGGTTTAAGCCTACCCGGGGCTTTTCAAGAAGCGGAACCCTGTTTCGCGCTGATTTTGGACACTTGTGTTGCCCGAGAACCCCCCAAAACCTAAGCCGCCCGAAGCCCAACAAAGAACATCCGGGGGCCCATGAAAAGGACCCGAAACCCACCCGCCAACCCAAAGCCAAGCTTGGGCCACCCAAGACTTCCTAGCGATGCGACGCACAGCCTTGAAACACATCGGGCCAGTTGCAAGCAACGCCCTGACCTGCCTCGAGAGGCACGTGAATGCCTCTCGCGCTCCACTTTTTGACGTCAGGGTATGCTTAAACCAAGGGGTGGTCCATTACCCCCATTTTGGGGGAACCCCTGGGTTTAAGTCGATCTTATAGTCAGAAAGTGGAAGTTTGGGTGAGAGCGCGGCACGCACTTGACTCGCCAGAAATGCCAACATGGGCGCCCTAGGCGGCATGAGTCGCCGAGCTCCTCCATGGCCGATGCCGATTCGGTAGCAGTTCCCGGGAGCTGGCACGTCCGGCCCCACCATCAGTTCTCCCAGTTGCGACGTGCTCAGCTTTCCTTTCGCGCCCCATCTTCAGGAAATTTCTTGGCACATCGCTTTTTAGGAGCGAGTCGTATCTCATCGTCTCCGCAGGTGTTCGAAATGGTCGCTGGAACCAGGCTCTTAGTTTCGACCAAACGCATGCCGCCCGAACAAAAATGGAGAAAAAAAAAACACAAACACACGACGGCTCGTTGGTGGTCTTACTACAATACTTCCATGTGAATTTGGTGAAGACCCCTGGAAAATACAATAAGAATATGTCACGCAGTGATAGATTCCAACTTTAACACCAACAGGGGAAACTAAAACAAATGCTTAACCAAATGGACGGTTACTTAAAGACATACTCTTAAACCGATGCTTAAACACATATTCTTAAGCCAATGGACCCCCCGGAGCCACCGATTTCTGGGCGGCCCTGACTGTCGCCAGGGCGGCGCAGCATGCCAGCAGTCGCCTGCGGCGACTGCTGCTGAGGTGAGGTGCGGGGCAGCAGGTGACCCACGGGGAGGGGTTGGTTTCCCACAAACATGGGATGGATTGGGGCGTGTCCATTCGGAAATTCGGACACCCCCAAATGGGTATGGCTCAAAATTAAAGACCTGGGGTTACGCGGGTTTTAGTCGTTGGTTCCATTTACCAAGGTGCCATTTTGGTACCAGTTTCTTGAGCCACAGCCAAATGGGCGTCTCTAGATGAGTTCGGAAAAAAGGACCCCCCCAAAAAAAAAACTGGCAAAACGGTGTCCTTTTGGTCTTCCAATTGCATAGACACACCGAAATGGCACCCCCAAAAAGGGAAACACTGGGAACCCAAGGGGAAACGAAGGGAACCCAAACGCCACCGAGCACCGGGCCACCTGCTTTTGCAACCTCCAAAGCCCCTTGCACAGTAGCCAAAAGTCATGTCGCGGCTTGGCAGAAGGAACCTGGCGGTTCTTAAACAACTTCCTCTTGGCCTCAAGTGCCATGTTCGCGCCGCGAGAAAGCAGGAGGGAGGGGAACGCAACATGAACGCAAAGGCGTGGGTCTTGGGCTGCGACCGACGTGCAACATGTTTCTCTTTTGGCCCGGCCGAAGTGGTTGCCGGCCAGTTGTCCGTGAAATTCCAAAGTGGTTGATTCCCATCCAGCCACAACGATGATGTGTTCAAGCTTTTGCCCCCAGCGATATGTGGGGTTAAGGCCGCTGGGAAAAGGGGCCTGTGCAAGTCCCCCACTACAATTAGTTGAACGGGAATCCACCAGCCACAGGCACGTGGCAACCTCACTCGGTCGAAATGCAATCTGGGTTGATGGAAATGCCACGTCTGGGGCAACTTGGATACTTACCCCTGAAAACTCCCTGCGCCCTGGGGAAGTTCTCATCTTTTACAGACATATAGCCCATGTTACCCCAAAAAGTTGAGAAACGTTTTGTGTTTTTAAGAGGTACGGGATATGTTGGCCCCCAAAAGTGCCGAGGAGTATCTCAACTGGCCTCCGGGCCCTGCGCCCTGGAACCTAAACATCCTACGGAGGATGGTTGAGAACGGACTAGTCATGTTCCCCCCACAAACATGTCACCCACCAAGCAAGGCAAACTGCAAGGCGCGATCCTTCCAAAAAGGAAAAGAACAACAAAAAACCGGGGTGATAATCAGGGTATCTGACAAGCAAGCTCCCGACCAAAGGCCACCAAGCACGCCTATGCCAACCACTGGCCATTTGGGCAGATCTCCGGCGCGCCAAGCCATGGCCAGTTCCCCGGTTCAAAAACCACAGGACAAGTATCAAATTCGTCCTTCTCTGAGGCTGTCCTGTTGTTTGTGGTTTTTTAAAGGGAAAACAACCCCGGCTTTTGGAGGGACACCCCAAAAAGCACCCCAAAAGCCCCCAGGGTTTTGTCAAAACAATTGTTGCAACAATTGTTTGGCCCCCAGGGTTTTGTCAACAATTGTTGCAACAATTGTTTGGGCCACAGGGTTTTGCGAAACAATTGTCGAAACAATTGTCACAGATTTCGGGGTGTTTTGGCTGGATTTCAACTGGGCGCTCGCAGAAGCTCTTTTGAAAACATTCAATATATATATATATGTATATATGTCTTTTTCTTTAGGACTACGTTTTGGGACCCATGTTGTTTTTTCGGGGATCCCAGAACCCATCGTGTGGCCGAGGCCGCGGCATGAAGGGCGGCCGGCCAGGCGGCCAGGCGGCCTGCCGAGACGTGCAAAAGAAGGCAGCTTCTGATTTCGGGGGTGTCCTTTTCTTGGGTACAGTGAGGGAACAACATACTTACACACATGATTGTCCTCACATGACTAAACATGGTGTTGAAGTACCCCAACCTACATGAGCTCTTTTACACTTCTTGGGGTTGTTTTAAAGGGAAACCAAAGGCGAAACCCATTCGGAGGGTCCGAATCCCTTTGCACATCAAGAGATCCTCTTGAGCGGAGGAGATCCTTCTCCAGGATGTATCCCAACAAGGTCTGATCCAGCCTTGACAGGCCTGACCAAATCTGGCCAAAGTGTCAACTGCTCGACCAAAATCACGAATGATAGCAAAGCTTTCTGTCCTCAGGTGAGTTCAGACGCCTTCATTCAGCTCCTACCCCCCCAACAAAAAAACTCAAGCGTCTTTGAGGTCCGGAAATTGAATCGGCCAAGCCCCACAAAAGAGCGGCGATGGAAGTTGCGAATCACCAACCTCCCAAGATTGCCCAAAGATCTTGTTCAAACCATGGTTTTCATATTCTAGGTTTACAGTGGTTAGACTAAGGCTACCCTTTTGGCTGTGGTCTATCTTAATATTGGGAACCCTCACCAAAAACGAATCGGGAGAGAAGGGCACCAATTGCTGGGGGACCTCGTTATTTTGGGCTGGCTTTTCACCATTTACGCCTTTCTTCTTTTCCTTGGGGAGGGGGATGGAGGGGGGGGGTTTAGGGGGGTTTCCCGGCCGAACTCTGAAGCCGTTGGGCCGAGCTTCGCTTCGGTTCGAAAACTCCTCGCCTCGAGCTCGCCGGACCGTTTTCCCGCGGCCTGAGAAAAATTTGACATGGGTTTACCGGGGAAGGGAAAACAAAAACACGCGCGCCTTGGTTGGTCAAACAAAACTGGAGGTGCAAAACAAAAAACACGCGTGCCTTTGTTGGTTGGTCAAGAAAACAAACGTGCCTGTTTTTGTTGAGAACACCAACGGTATTGGTCCAACGAACAAGCCTAGGCAGATCCTGCCGCAAATCACAGCCAAACAGCTGGCTTCGTGTTGAGAAGCCGAAAGGCCGAAAGCGCAAGCTGAGGCCATGTTCAAGGGAGCCCTATGGAAATCGATTCCACCATACTCTTCCAATCCACCAGACGAAAACGAACCTGCTTTTTCTTTTTTTTTAATCTCGGCCGCAAAACCCCCGGCGGTTTGGCTGGAAATTTGCACTTTTGGTTCTAGAGGGGTCGGCGGGAAGCTCCAATCTGATCCAAACCATCTGGAGGGAACTTGTATCTGCCAAAAGCAATGAGAAACTCAGGCAGTGAGTCATGCTCAGTAGATACGCTTGAAGCCATCTTTGCTCTGACCCGACCCGCCGTACCTCGAACTAAAAACCAAAAACACACAAATATGCATGAGCTTTGTGTTGCGGGAATGGCTGGACACAACCCAACAACGGCATGTTGGCTTTTCCAACAAACTCGTCCTTTTTGTGGAAGATCTTTCAGCAAAAAATCCGACGCTTAGCCATCTGCATCTGCGAGCGCGGCCGTATCGAGGCTTCAAAAATAATTCCCAAGACCGCCAATCAGAAATTGTTGGCCCAGGCCCAGACCCTTTCGCCGATCTTGCCAAAGAATCGCCAGGGCTTTCTTTGGTTGAAATAGGAACGGGCCGCCGGTTACCAAAAAAGACGCCAGGGATTTCTTGGGAGCTGACTTTGAAGGAACACCCCTTCCCCTAAAAAAGAGAGACAACGTCACCACAGGTCTGACGTGGGAAGTGTCCTTCGAGCGTTGCAGCAGATCCCTGCCACGATTTTCAGCTCCCATCCGGAAACCAAACCTGGCTGTGCATCGTTCACAAACAAGCACGACCAAAGCACCCAAACAACGCGGAAAATGAATCAAGGACCCCCTTCGAGTGTGTATATATATATATATATGATACGTATTTATATAACCAATATGGCTTGCTGCCCCTGTTGATTTGCCATAAATTCACAAACTCGGGTGGCGATTGATTGCACCCAAACAACCTGAAACCAGTTGCACGGGCATCACTTAGGGCTAAATGGGGATTCTCTTACAAATATCAATCAACAATCAACATGTTTGGATTCGGAAGATCAACTGTGAAACAGGTTTTTAGTACCAAGAAAAGGATCGCACCTGGAAATCCTTCATTTGATTAAGAAAGGCACCTCAAGCCAATGGAAACCAATAGCCTTATGGTTTTTCTCTTGATCGCACCTCAAAAGGCGTCTTATGCCGTCTTTTGCCCATCCCGCCCGAAGCAAGTCTCCAAGTGCCGAGCGGGGAGAAAACCCGCCGCAGGGGGGAAGTTTCGCTACCAGACTCGAGCCAAAGCGACGAATGCTTTAAGTTTAAATAGAAGAGGGGCCTCAACAGGGTTGTGGGATCAAGGGTTTTTTTCCCCACTTCTGTGATACCTTCGGGAATCTCTCCCTTTACATGGGGGGTTCGTCTTTGGGGTTAGGCCCTTTTGTATCACAGATTCGTGGGTTCCATTCCCCACAGCCCTGGGCCTCAATGGAACCCATCTGGGTACAGCTGGAGTGCCTTCGGGAGCCTTAGGAACCCCCAGTTCAACACACGTGGCCAAAACGCTCCACGTACTCCAGTAAGACATCCTGAGCCAAGTTGTGGCTTCCATCAAAAAAAAAAAAACGGGCACCCAGCAGTGAATTGTGTCTGTGTGTGTGTGTGTGTGTGTGTTTGTTTGTTTGTTTGTTTGTTTGTTTGCTTGTTTGTTTGTTTGTTTGTTTGTTTGTTTGTTTGTTTGTTTGTTTGTTTGTTTGTTTGTTTGTTTGTTTGTTTGTGTGTCTGTGCGCGTGCGTGCGTGCGTGTTGGTTTTGGGGCCCTTTTTGGGGTGGTTGTAAAAGGAGACAAAAGGAGAACCACGTTTTTGGAGGTCCACATCCTGAAAAGACATCTTGAGAACCACTCGGCTCGTGGGACTGGGTTGAGGTTACTCGCGACTCCTGAGGAGTACATCTGCAGCTCCATGGCAACAGAAGCTCAACGCAACCTACTTGCGGACTGGGCCGTTGGGTTTCTACGCGAAAAAATGAAGAAAAGAGGCTCTTGGCAGGGGCACGTGCCCAATTCCAGGAAGCCAGTGTGGGTTTCTGGGCGTCATTTCGCTTCGCGGTTGGCTCCTCTCAAAAGATCACCAAGGCAATCTCACCTGAATCGGACCAAACAAGTGTTGTTTACCGCCACAAACGGGACACATGGGAAATAGATAGGGACCCTAGGAAACAACTTGGATGGTTCAGTTTGGGGCTCCAACTCGCACACATCATCCTGATCTGCGCAACGTTGACATCTGTCCATCCTGAAACCATCCCTTGTGGTTGCCTTTAAGGAGACTTCCAAGTTCATTTCCTCATTCCCTACTTATCGCACCAGCAAGCTTGGTACAGCAAGTGGCCCGCGCACATCTTCCATACCCTAAGTTGCTGACGGCTTCTTCATGCCTTGGCTTTGCATGTCAGCGGGCCCTGAAATGCTGAGTTGCGTTGGTCCGCTGGGGAAACCTCCCAAACGTCATTGCTTTGGAACCCCAATATTTTTGGCGAACGGGAAACCAAAGGAGAAAACATATCCCCTTGTAGCTCCCCTATTTTAAGACAAATCCAGTTCAACGTCAAGAAAGGGTCAATTTCTCACTCCCGACCCCGCGGCGCCCAAAACTCATGCACCCTTTTAAGGATTCCCAATCTGAAACCCAGATCCGAGTCATGAGAACCTCACTTGCCCAAAGGACCTGGAAACAAAAAGCTTCACCTTGGGGCCTTCACGGAAAAATGGGAAATGGGCACAAAAGGCGTAGTTGATTTCAAAGGACAGGATACCCCCCAAAACAACAAGCCCCAACCTGCCGTCAAATCGGAACCCGTTGGACTCCGCGCCCCGAGGATGATCGCCAGAAGAATCGCGGTGGTTGCGAGGCGGGTGTTGTGCATAGCGAATCTGGCGCGATCCGATCGCCTGTGAATTTCATATCGCTTTGGCAGGGTTCCCCGAATTAACCCCCAAGGTGGATTTAAACAACACCCAAGGTGTGCTTTAAGCCCCAAGGTGACGTAAACAACACCTTTTGGGTGTGCCAAAGGAGTGAGTGTTTGGTCTGTTCGGGAAAATATCGGCAACCATCGCAAATGTGTCATCGGCTCCTTGCCACAACCTTCCGAAGGTTGTTCGTATTACCGCAGTTTTTGGCCAGAAGGGACCTTTTGGTGCACATCATTTTGGTGGGGATTCATGTCCACCAATCACTTTTGAGGTGGTTCCCTATTAAAGTTACTGCCCATATGGCTGCGCGTCTTCTTTTTCTGGAATCGGATTCCCCCAAACTGGACCCAGCAAAAACGGGGTAACAGCTCCACAAAAAAAACACATGAAAGAAACAAACAACCAACACGTGGCTTCCATGGCGCACGGTGCCATGGAACCCATCAGAGGGCTGGTCCCTGCAGGAAAAAGCTCTCACTTCCGGAATGGAGTGAGAAAAAACTCTGAGCTTTTCATCTACCACTAAAAATCAGAGTTTGTTTCTCAAAGTTTGAGCTTTCCGCTAAAATGTTCTTTCAAAAAAACACTCTGGAAAAACTCTGAGCTTTCCGAACAGTTTGAAGTCCGAGCCAGGCAGTGAGAACATCCTCCAAACCGAAAAGGACCGAATCCGGAACGTCCGGCTCTGCCAGGCTCCCTGGCAGCGTGGACCAGAGGCTATCATTTCTTTGGGGGATCTTAAAAGGTTGGGTTCAGACCCAAAGGAATCAGGAACCACCCAACGATGTTTTCTGGGTACTGGAAAGATTTCTTGCACTCTCAATCAGAACCGACCCTTTTTTCGTGCCCTTTTTTGACACACCCAGAAAATGCGTCGCTCCAAAGAAAGGAGCCCAGGGCGCAATCCCCCGCCAAGTTCCCGCGCGATCGCGATCGGAAGCGCCGCGCCTTTGTAGAATCATGGGATCCGAGCGCCTGAAGTTGGCGGAGAATCTTTGGCTCAACCTCCTGGAATTCCAAGCTCGCAAAGTGGAGCTTGTGACCGATTTTGCTCGAAATGAAGGGTTGCCTGAGTACCAACGTGGGTATTTTGGGTGGACCCGCAACAATGGCGGGCGGGCGCGCGTTCCTTTTGGCGCCCACCTCGAAAAACCCACAAAACAAAGGGCTGCCAACATGTACGAACTCCAAACCAGACGAGCCCAAATAGAGATGCGGACCCCCGTTTCATGTCGTTGCTTTCCCTTAAGCCATAGCCAAGCTAAGGCTACCAAAGCCACCAAAAGCGTTAGCCACACGGACCCTGGAGCCTGAGGTGATATTCGCAAGAGGCGCGCCCTGTTCTTGTCGCACAAATCCAGCGAGAAACTCGTTGCAACACATGACTTGCTGGTTCTCAGCAGGGAATGAGGGAATGACACCTTCAATCATCCTTGACGTTTTTTCCTTTAAGGGAATCCGCAGGTTCAGTCCCAACACAGCAGTTGGGGGGGTGGAATCAGAACCAGTCTTCAGGACAAACAATCGGATGGAATTTCTGCCCGCCTTCGCCTGCCCTGTCAAACATGTTAAAGCTCCTTTTGGCGCGCTGCTGGCCGGGTGACACGGGCCATTCGAGAATGGCCAAGATGTCCAAAACAAACAGCTGGTCAGCAATTTGCTGACGCAAAAAGAAACACTCGAACTCTGAAGGTGCGGAGAAAAAAGGAACAACCAGTTTTTGTTGGTGTAGGGCCTGGAAACACCATCGGTTTCCAGAAATCTCAGTGAGCTTTTTGTGTCTCAGGGCAACCCCTTTTGCTCACCCCCCTGTTTGGCCTCGTGGGCAATAGACAAAGGGAACCAACACAAAAGGGTTTGTCTTAAAATCGTCTTCGCTCAAGCCAACCGAAAAAAGTGGCGCCGAGCCTCGGAAAAACAAAAACAACTCGCCCATCAATCACCCCGGTTTGAGGTGTAAAATTGGGGGGTGCGGCCACCTTCGGGATCCAAAGAGAGTCGCGGATCAGGGCGGGCCTTGCAACTTGCTCACGTCAAATTCGGCCTGGAAAGAAGACCTGCGCCGTGGAAAAATGTAAAAAAAAACCACGTCTGTTTGGTTCGTTGGCGAGGTGGCTGGGCGAAACAGGCAGATTTCCAGCACGGAACATTGGTTGCTTCGAGCAGCAATTTGCCGTTCGAGGAAAGGAAGGCCCAGCCTGCGGCCCTGCCAAGAAAAGCCTCCAAACTTACAGCTCAACTAAAGCCTGCCGGAGAGCCGCAGCCGCTACGCGGCGGCACTCTTCGACACTTCCCTTGAACGCTTTCTGCAGGAAGTCCGGCACCGGCTGATCTTTCGCGAAGTCTTCTGCGTTCCAGCCGCCCGAGTGGCGCAAATCAAGCCGCGCCCCGGCCGCTACGAGAGCCGCGGCGCCTTCGTGCTGAGATGTCAAGATCCTGGGTTGGATTTCTGCGTGCAGAAGGTCAAAGCTTTTGTAGGTCTAATGGAAATGTGAATCCAAAACGTGTACGGGAGCCCCTTAAAGGTCACACCAACAACCAGCCGTGGCTCGTCATCATCAAAGGTGTGGCGCCACGGCTGCTGTGATACATCATCTTTGGGAGCATTGGCGATGTGCTCCCGAGTCCTCGTCTGAAGCATCCGGACTTTTGAAGCTTGATGTAACAGGCTCCTATCTTCAGACATATCTGCAAAAAACTGCACGAACTTTTGGCGCTTGGCTTTTCGGGGGCCATGCCTGCACGCTGAGCCCACGAAATACCTGCCATGCCCGCCAAGCAGGCACGCGTCAATTCAGTGCTGAGCGTGTGCACGCGTGGATTCAGAGCTGAGCGTGTGCGACTGAGCGGGTCTCGATCCATGCCGGAAACGCGTCAGCAATCGTACGGCGTTGCTCGGGCCAGCACGATACTTCTTTAGCAGCCAGCAGTGGCCGCGCAAAGCGCTGTGATACAGCTCTTTTGATGGGACAAACACTGCTTGTGTTGTGAGCACATAACCACTTCTTGGGCAAGTGCTGGCCTAAGGTCGCAAATTGTGACAAATTGCAGCTGTGAAAAAACTTGTTTGATAGGAAAAGGAGTGCTTGCAGGCAACCAACAGCCTACAGCTTAAACATGGTTCCAAATCTGCAACTTGATAAAACAACATCACTTCCTTGGCAAGTGGCCGCGCAAAGCTCCAAATGCCAGCTGTGAAATGGCCCTATGGTTTCAGCTGGCAGGTGTGATTGCGGGAGGAATGGTGAGCACAACGCTCTTGCCAAAAATCTGACTCGCGACCAGCCCCACTCAACATGCTCAAGACGCATATATTGGGCACAACCCGCTCGCAAACATGCAAAAACAACTGGATGGATTACGGATTACTCGTGATGAGCCTAGCAAACATCCGGAATGATCCGACCTACGTGGCCAAGTCTCTGTATTGAAGCGCCTGATGCTTGGCAACCAGCACCAGACGTACGCCCAGCTTCCACCAAGTGAAGCTCTGGTCGTTCACATCTGCCTTCCACTCCACCAAGCGTTGCACTACTGGGGCGGTGCCTCCATGGTGCATGATGGCGCAATGCAAAGTGAGGCTCATGTCAATGCCGCGTCCGCCGGTTTGCAGATAGAGCTCCTCCATGGCTTCCGTGCTGTTGTGGGCGCACGCCACTTCAAAAGCGGTGCTGCCGAGAAGGTTCCGGTGATGGGGGCTGCAACGGGCATCGCAAAGCCTTCGGGAGACCGCTTCGATAAGCGGGGGTGGGGGGGTTTGTTGTTCGACGAAAACGCGGAACAACAAGACCCCCCCCCCCCCCCCCCCCCGGCGAACAACAACAAGTCCCCCCCCTCTCACTTGTTGTTCGACCCCCTCCCCCCCCAACAACAAGTCCCCCCCCCCACCTGTTGTTCAACTCCCCCCCCCCCGGCGAACAACAACAAGTCCTCCCCGGCCTCCCCGCCCCCCACTTGTTGTTCGACCCCCCCCCCCAAACAACAAGCCCCCCACTTGTTGTTCGCCCCCCCGCCCCCCAAACAAGACCCCCCCCCCCAACTTGTTGTTCGACCCCCTGCCCCCAGACAACCAGTCCCCCCCCCTCGTTGTTCAACTCCCCCCCTTTTCGCGGCGAACAACAACAAGTCCCCCCCCCTTTGTTGTTCGACCCCCCCCCCCCCCCCAAACAACAAGTCCCCCCCCCCACTTGTTATGCGAGCCCCCCCCCCCGAACGACAAGTCTCCGTTCACCTGGCTGGCCTTTTCGGTTGCAAAAGATGGAGAAGCCAAAGCGGCCAAGAAAGCTTCGCTTGGAAGCGAAAGGCCCCGAAACTTTTGAGGGGGGATTCAGACTCTACCTTCTGAACGCCCACTTGGAGGGCGCCGCCGGAACAACAAGTCCCCCCCTCCCCCACTTGTTGTTCAACCCCCCCCCAACCAGCCCCCCACTTGTTGTTCGCCCCCCCCCCAAACAACAAGTCCCCCCCCGTGTTGTTCGACCCCCCCCCCCGGGAACAACAAGTCCCCCCCCTTGTTCCCCAAACAAGAAGTCCTCTCCCGTTGCTCGACCCCCCCCCAGCGAACAATTGCTCGACCCCCCCCCCGCGAACAACAACAAGTCCCCCCCCCCCACTTGTTGTTCGACCCCCGGGAACAACAACCCCCCCCTCCCCACTTGTTATTCGAGCCCCCCCCCCGCGAACAACAAGTTGGCCCCCCCTCCACTTGTTGTTCGACCCCCCCCCCCCCAGAACAACCCCCCCCCCACTTGTTATGCGAGCCCCCCCCCGAACAACAAGTCTCTCCCCCCCCCACTTGTAGTTCCAGCCCCCCCCCCCGAACAACAACTCCCCCCCTCCCCCCCACTTGTTATTCGAGCCCCACCCCCCCGAACAACAAACCCCCCCACCCCTTATCGAAGGGGTATGGCCTTCGGACAGCCTCCGGGCTGTTGGCGACAGCTGCCGCGATCAGGGGTGTTAGAGTTGCCTTGCTACTGGTGAGCTTGGCCCTGGCAGAGATGAGCACCTGCATAGCATCGTGATGTCTGAAGAAAGAACTGATCGCCAGTGCTGAGACCAATCGGGGTAGTCCCAAATGCTGCTGGTCTTTGGTAGTCTTCTGGTTGGGGTTCGCTCGCCTCGCCAGAAGTCCTTGGACCACCTGCTCATCTCCACTTAAGGCAGCATAGTGCAGCGGCAGCCACCCGCCGCTATCCCGCTCGCAAACACTCGAGAACCCATTCTGGTGCAAGAACTCTTCCACCACGAAGGACTGGACACGGCTCCCGGAGCTTGCGGAGCTCGGAACGGGCTTACAGAACTCTTCGACACCCAACTCGCGCAGGTACACACTCTGCTCGTTCAGAAGCAAACGGAAGCCTACGAAATCCTGGTCCTGCAAGTAGCGCCGGAGCGCACGCCTGAGCATGGGGAGAAGCAAAGGTGCCAGCTTCGTCTTGTCCTCTGCGAGTGAAAACTCCCCTTCACCAACTGGTCCACTGCCCATAGATGCTGCAGGACAGCGAACTTGTTCTAAGCTCTTAGGGCCCTTCACCACAATCCTCAGACCAAAAACTGCCAAAAAAGCTCTCTAGCTGGAATGGGATGGAGGAAATCCGAAAGGGCAAAGACGAAAAAAGTAAGGTCAGCTAAGTCAGGCAACTTCCATTTGATTAACACCCCCGGAAAAAATATGTCCAGTAGTGATAACTTCCTGTTACAACCAACATGGGAAAATCAATAAAATATGTTCATTCCGGCCAATGGAAGGCCATGACTCCAAGGCTGCTTTTGGCCCAGCTCGCAGCAAGCCCTTTCCAAGCGGCACCAACCGCGGCGAGACCAAGTGATTGGAGACAAGACCGAAGCTTCGCCCTCGAGGACTGGACACACCACGAAGAAGAAGGTGCACTGCGCCACGTAGACCGGGATGCTGCTGATTGCTTTAGACAGATCCGTTTGCTCACCAGCGCGACACTGTGGGCATGAGAAGTAGTCGTACCAAAGGAATAGAGGAGCTGTTCGAAGTTCCGAGGTGGGCATGGGCTTTAAAGTGGGAATGACCACCTGAGTCATGATGTCCAAAGGAATGTGCTCCATGTCAGACATCGCATGCTGGAGAGCGGCCTGTAAGATCCGCATCTGCTTTCCCTCGGGGTCTGGATGATCTACCCCCAGCCACTGGTGAGAGACAAAGGCAGCATTGCCCATGCGCGCGTCAAAGCGGGAAAGCAAACCCTGGGCTTTGAGCGCTTCGTGCGGTTGCAGCTCTCTCATCCCGAAGAAGACTTCGAGGCTCACGGTGTACATGGGGAACAACATCCGGATCTGCTGCTCGCCGTCCGCTTTTTCCAGAGCTGCCGAGAAATGCGAGAGGAGCGCCGCTTGGCGGCCTCCCAAGCCGCAGCAGGACATGGCTGCGAGAAAAACATCCGGCGGATGGAGCGAGCCACACCTGAGCCAGCAGCCAGAGGATGCAAGGGGTGCCAGTGCGATCCATCAAACGAGGGAAGAAGGACACTTCAGAAACCTAAGGAAACGCCATCCAAACCTAAGAGACCCCGAGTTTTAAGTTTGGGTGAATGCACCCCGTTCGCCTATGCCAACGGAAGGCTCTTTTTTTTCCAGGAAGCGGAAAGCGCCATCCAAATCCGGGGGGGGGGGGGTCGACGAAGGGATTTTCGGCCAGGGGCCGGGTGACCAGGGCTGGGAATGGAACCCACTGTGATACAACAGAAAGGGCCTAACCCCAAAGACGATGTCTTTCATAAGGGGGAGTCCCAAAAATCTCACAGAAGGGCTTCATCCCTTCCCACAACCCTGCTCAAACTTTTTTCCGTTGGGTTTTTTTTGTGTGGTTCTGGCCCCATCCAAGTAACCAAGTGGTCGGTTCTACGGAAACCACCTGCTTTTTCCCCATATCCCCTTGGTACTGTCCAAAAGCAGGAGGAAAAACAAGCCAAAAGATTCCTCTTGGCTTCAACAAAGGGCTTCCCTTGGATCCGAAACAACACCCGAAGGGGCACCCTCCAGCACCCGGGTCTCAAAAAAAAAACTCTGCGGTGTGCAGGGTGTACATTTCGGACATGGGGAAAAAAACAAACAGTTGGGGAGCTGGCTTCTGCCAGATGGGAATCGGTTGTGGTCGCCAGGGACGTTCTCATGGCCTGGCTCCAATGTCTCTCAGAGACAGGAATGCTCACACAAACATCTCCAGGAAATGTGAGGCGTCTTCATTCTAGCCACTTTTTTCTGTTCGTCCCCGAGAATAAGGCAACTTGTTCCTTGCCAGTTCGTTCTTCCCAGCCCTGGCGAGGCAGTTCTTTCCTTAGGGCATTAGGTATGGGTTTTGGCGGTATGGATGCTTGATATACCACCAATTTAAGGTGTTCACCCCATATTCATCAACCAATTCCAGTTTGTTGAATAGGAGAGTCACTTTTGGAAGGGGCCCCACCCAGTCATAAACTGACACTGGTTGGTTGGGTCATATAAAACAAACATTACCCTCTTTCCAATGGAAGTTCAGCTTTCCCCTGCTCCTTTGGAGTTGGTAAGGGAGGAGTTTCCCACCCTCGACATGAGCTTCACATACAGATCCAAGCCGGGGGGTCGTGCCCATGCAGGCAGGGATCGGGGACCCCAAAAAGGTTCCAACGCGAGCTGCTTTGGCTTTTTGTTTGAACACGAAAGGCCGCGAAAAAACACCCAAACCAACGAACAACTCGCCGAAAACACCCAAACCAACAAAAAACTCGCCGCGCAAATCAACTGACTGACTGCTGGATTGCAATCGGCCCAGAATGCCAAGGTAGAAATCCTCCACCACGTGGGTGGTTCCAACTCTTGAAAAAAAAACGTTTTACGTTTCTCTCGACGGCTGCTTTTCTTGCAACGCATCGGGAAAGCACCCTCCTTCCAACCGGATCCGACAGTCACCACCCTTTGCAATTGTGCGGCTTCGTCGGGGGCAGCATTGTTTACATATCAGAATACACATAAAACCATCCGATTGCTTTTGCACAGGCATGGGTTTTGTTCAAACATAAAACACACAAACACATGAATTGGGTTTGGATATAAGCCATTGCCTTTTAAAAATTACTTTTAAAGCAACAAAGACATTGTTTGCTTTACAAACAACGACAAAGCAGCACTGCTTTTGGGTTGCCGCTACTGGATTTTGGTTGCACGCCCAAGGCAACTGGCAAGTTAAGACCTGGAATCTGTACAAAGACTCAGTTGTTCAGTGACCCTGGAAAAACAAGGGAACCCATTTTTGAAAGCCACAAAAAAAAAAGGGGAAAAGGGTGCCACTGAACAACTGAGAAGAAACCACCTTTTGGAGGTTCCCCAACCGAACAAACATGGAGGGAGCAAACATTTCAATCCTCCCCCCCCCCGGATTTTTTTTGGGGGGTTCTGGTATGTGCTTTTGTCAAGAAGCAACAACTCGCTCCCCCCTGATTCCGAGCCTGAATTCTGAATTCACCGCCCGGGTGCTGGCATGTGTCTTCCTCAACTCAGCTCCGCCCCCCCGAACCGACCCAACCAACCCACCGGGTAAAGTTTCCCGCATCGTGGTCTGCACTTCGCGGCTTTTTCTCTCGCGGCTGCTTGGGATTTAGGGACTTGGGCTGGCCGACCCAGCGCGAATCCATGAGTGCTCTGTTCCCAGCCGAGGGCTTACCCTCTCCCCTCCCCCTGGTCGACACCAAAAAAAACGGAGAAAAAAAACATCGATCCATCGATCCACCCGGCCTCCAGCAGGTCGCAGCTTTCATGCTGGACTGCACTTGTGAGGGCGCCAAGGGCGCCCAAGGCGCTGCGTGCAACGCCACCTAGGAGATGGGGGGCGGCGGGGTTTTGGTTGGGGCTCCACGGCTTAATTGTTGTTTTTGGTTTGGTGGTGGGCGTTTTTGCGGTTGTTCTGTTGGGGATGTTGGCCGGAGTTCCTTTCTTGCCCGAGCTTTTGCCTTCTATGCTTGAACTGGGTGTCCATTTTTTTAGGTGTTGTAAGGGGTGGGCACTCTGTGGACTTGCTTTTGGGTTCCCAGGCTCACGTTGCTTTAAGTCTTTGTTGGTGTCCTTTGGTCTCTCTAATTCGTCTTCCCGGGGGATGCCGCCCGAAGGCGGCAGATCCCGGAGGTGGGTTCCGCGCGCTCCTCGTTGCGTCGCATATCTCCGAGCCCTTCTGAATGGCTGTGGCTCCATCCAAAGATGAAAAAAAACCAACCAGGAAACCACCCCCGGGTAAATGTATGGGAGGTGCATTTGCAACCACCTTCAGGAAGTTGGGCATGAACCCCAAACCCTAAGTCCAAAGTTTACCCTTCCGAAAGCTGAGGTTAAGACTTGGATCCCCAAGTAAAGGACAACTTTTTATCATGGTGAGCCTGTTATACCCACAGATGAGATCGACATAAAATAGGCAGAAACTATCATGATTCCCTTCTGACTTCTTTGCCACTTGGTCAGGCTCTCCTATAGCCCCGAGCTATGAGCTTCAGTCCCGATGAAAGATCCTTGAGGACCCCCCCCCCGTAAATGTATGGGAGGTGCACTTTGCAACTACCTTCTTCATGGAGTTGGGCATGACCTTCTAAAACTATATAGATGGGTTTGGAAAATTGGGGGGGGGGGGAATGAAACCAATCTAAACCACTGGAACGCAGCCCCACCAGGTGGCCCTTAGGAAAAATCGGTGGGATTCCCTGGTAAATGGAATAAACCCCATCTAAACCAGGACCCTCCATTTTTTAAGCCAACCAACCAAAAAGGAAGCCACTGGAACCCAGCGATTCGAACCCAAACACACGCCTAAGCAGCCTCTGGGTCCCCGGCTGTGCCGCTAAAGTGCAGGCACAGCTTCGAAGCTTCCTGCAGAAAACACGCCGGCCAATCTTGATGCATGCCGCCTCTTTGTGGCCGTTTCCTGGGAGAAAGGACCACCTTGGGGGGAAAACACCCGCATCCCTCAACCCGAAACCCTGAACCCTAGTTAGGGTTTAAGGCACGGTCGGAAAAAAAGTGGGGGGTGAAGCACCCAAGACATTCATGACCAGTTAATTCCCCTTCGGCCAGCCTGGCCTTGCATTTTTTTTCTCGCGAAGACGTCTTTCGCCACGCTTTTTGTTTTTGTTTCTCGGCTGGAAGCTCCGAAGACCGGCCAGGAACACCGAGAAAACGAAGCAGAGGCACTGAGCCGAACTTCCGGGCGGGACAAGTCCATGTTTTCTTGAGCCTTGGGGCCTTGACTCATGGTTTTTTCCTCCAAACCTAGCAAAGTTGACAGTGTTCCGGCAGAAAAGGGGATTCCGGGAAGCTACGGCTCCATCTCGGGCGCACCTGCGACTCAAAATCCCTCCGGAGAGGGAGATGATTTCGACGAAACGTGAAACACAGCACCGTGATTGCGGCTTTTGTGGGGTGCTCATTTGCGAATACGCCCCCTGAAAAAAACAAAGCTTATGTGCAGTGATAGATTCCAACTTTAAAACCAACAAGGGAAGAAAAGACACGACTCTCAAGCAAATGGGACATTCAGGGGACCATAATTCGAAAGCTTTGATTTGGTGGACAGGCTTCGCTGGGGATTCATGCGGACCCACATAGCCTGGTGGGACGTGACGTGGGATGCACCGCATCGCACGCTTCGGGCTTGAACACCGACCAGGGTTGGAGATTTTCCAATTGCCGGCCATTCTAGGGGTACCTTCCCCATTCTTTCCAGGGATCCTTATTTCTAGAAAACCTCTGGAAACGCAGGGAAAACGGATCCGGTTTTTGGAAAGAACGATGGTTGAAAAGAATGGGGAATCAAGCCCTAGAGCCATGAGTGATGTTGACTCCAGATGAATAACCCGCCCGCCAAGAATGGGGGGGAGTCACCAAAAAATCGTACTGTGCGGATGCCCACTCTTAGTGGGGACTGGATCAAACTCAGTTCCAGTTCCACTTAGATCCGGGGTTCTGAGGTGCCAAGGGGAGGTGCGATGCTGAATGTAAACCCGAGGTCATGTACAGACCTTCTGTCAGTTAGGATGGATGAAAGCCCCGAGCCTGGATTTTGCGCAGAAAACGGGGAGAGAAGTGCATGGTCCGACCGAGTCTCGAGTGGCGCCTCGTGAGCGAAATCTCGGCACTGGATGTCCTTGTCACATGCACGCCTTGCATACGGACGCGTCTGAGGCGCCTTTGGAAGCGCTGGCTTTTGGGGCAAACGAAACCCCGACTGAAGATCGTCGGTAACCCCAGCACCCGGGTCCGAACCAACCACTCTTTGTACAGTAAGGGGATTTTGGACATGGAGAAAAGTAGTTGGGACCCGGGTGCTGGTACGTGCGAGCCTTTTTTTCCCAGATACGGGACTTCCGCGAAAACGCGCCCAGAGGCCTGCGGAAGTGCACCTCCTTCCCAAGTTGGGCGCCCGATTTCTCAGAAGGAGACCTCAAATTGGCCCACGTGATGTGTGAAACCAGGGAAAAGAACCTACAAAAACGCACCCAGGTCCCAACTTGGCTGCAGTTTTGTCATGTCCCAAATTCCCACTTGGCCTAAATTTGTCGCAAATGCAAAGTGTCCTTGTCACGGGCCTCCAAAATCAATTTGAAAAAGGCCACTCAAAAGGGGAGGTTCGGGTTTAAGGGATCCATTTGTCCATGTACTTAATTTTTGCTTTAGGCCCTCTTTGGTGTCTGATCTCTTGACTCCTTTTGTGCTCGTTTCAAAGGAAAGCCAAAAGGAAGATCACATTTTTTTGCGGGCCCTCTTTCGTGTTTGTGGGATACTCTTGAGGGTACCATTTTTTTTGGAAAAATATAATGAGAAAACAACTCGCCCAGTTGGGGGGGTCCAACCGCTTTTTCGACACCGACCGCACGCCTGCAATTCGCCTCGCCCGCCGAGGCCACGAAAAGGCGCTGCGAGGGCAGTGTCTGGCTGGCCTCTCCTCCGGATCGAAGCGGCGCTGAAGCGCCTGAGGGGGTTGGTGTAATCATAGAAACCAGCAGGAAATTCTACGGGAAACTTGCCAAATTCCCACCAAAATCAGGGCTTTCCTGTGGAGCTTCCGGTAGATGGTTTCTTAGATGTAAAGGTTTTAACTAGGTCCTCCAGTAGAGAGGTTAGAATAAGGCTACCCGATCTATTTTCTGCAGTCTGTTTTAGTAGGGGAACCCTCCTCCAAGAAAGAAACGGTAAAAGGGCACCTAGCTGGGGGACCTAGTTAACCATCTTGCTATGCTGCTGCGATAGGCAGGGAATGAGAATTGGAATGGAGAGAAGCCATCCCTTGCTGGCGGTTTCCTTTAAGGGGGCCAGTGGAAAGTAAACATGGCTGCTGCCCTGACCTGTTTTGAGGTTCCATGAGGGGTGGTTTACCTTGTCCCCTGAAAACGGTTGCGAGGTGTGGCTTGGGTCCCTGTGTGGGGGGTCAACGATCCCCACCACTGGTGGTTGCGTCGTCGTTGTTTGTTGAACAAGCATGAATAAAAGGAACAAATGATAATAATAATAATAATAATAATAATAATAATAATAATAATAATAATAATAATAATAATAATAATAATAATAATAATAATAATAATCATAATAATAATAATAATAATAATAATAATAATAATAATAATAATAATAATAAACAAATAAAACACAAACATAAAATAATAACACACAAAAGATACATTTACCAAATAACACCCACAAACAAAAGCCAACGGCTTTCCCAGGCGCTCTTAAGCGCTGGGCCACGCCCGCGACTTGAGGCGTGGGCCCAGCAACTGGCTGCAGTTGGCGGCCGGCAGCGCCTCGGACCCGATGCGAGGCGAATGGGCGCCACTTTTCGTCGGCGGTGTGGGGCTGCGAGGAGAACATTGGGGATGAAGACCATGCCAAGACACAATTCATCTGGACACATTGAGGTGACATCACGGTTTGAGGGAACTTTTGGCGGGTTCCATGCGGAAAACCCGGTCCTTTTCCGAAAAGTGAAAGTCCTCTGGTGGTTTAATTTTGACCCATACCCATTTGACATGCAGGGGTCACTAGATGTCTACCAAATTCAACTCACGAGCTATCCCCCGATGTCGTCAGGCAATTTTTAATGGGCATCAAAGGTGCCACTGGTGAAACTGTTCAAAGCCCCAGAAAAAGCACGTTGAGGGACACAAAGATTTGCGTCAATCCTACCTGAACACAAGGTCAAATCTACCAAATTCCCAAGGGACTCGAACAGTAAGCCATCAGCCAGTTGATTCAGCCCTTTCCACGGAAACCTGATACAGGTGCCTATAGGGGAATCAAACCAGAGGTTTACCAAAGCAAGTGAACAAAACAAGCAACAGATTCCTCTAAACTTGATGGCGTGCAAAAGCTTCATGTTAGCTGAGCAGCTGGTGACCTCTCGCCAAGGTAAAGGAACCGTCTCATGAACCCCCCCCCAAAAAAAAAAAATATGGCAAGACTCCTTTGGGCGTCCCTTTGAACCTGCCGCAAATGGGATACCAACTTTGAAAACGAATTCAACGCTTTGGCCATGGAGGAAATACAAGGTTTGTGTGTGTGTGTGTTTTTCTTCAGGGTACAGTTGTTCGGGGTTTCAAAAGGGACACATTAAGGCAGAAGTGTGAAGCCAGGTCTTTCATGCAGACTGCCGCTTCCGCTTGTAGAGCCTCCCTCCCTCCGTGCATCTTTCAAAGCCTCAAGCGCGAATCGTCAGTCATGATCTGGCTTGATTTCTTGTCCAAGGCAACTGGCCTTTTGTGGCCACTGGAAATTTTGCGGCAACATGGCAGTGAGAGCTTGCATTGAACTTCATCTTTTCCCGCACACACACTGGCATAGAAATCAGCTACAGGACTTTTTACAGACCAAATACCCGTAAAAGAAAATCAAGATTGCCCAAGAATTCCCGAGTATCCCTTTTGGCTGGTTTCTTGGAAGGCCGGCATGCCGCCTTTTTTGCCGGTTTCTTCGCTTCGATTCGAACGCGCACGCGAATCCGAACCGACGACTCGAACCGCGCCTGGTAGTCGAAGGCTTCGCACAACTGCGGCATGAGGTGACAGCCCTCGAGCGAAGCGAGGTAGGGTCTGTTTGTGTTTTCTTGAGGGAACCTGGTGAAGGTTACTTGAAAGACACATACCCAATCTCCAATTTCCATTAGTCTCAGGTGGGGTACCAGATTTTGTGTTTTCTTATTGGTTGCTGCAACGACCCCCCAGCAAAAAGTTGACAACTTTTTTTGGGGGGGGGGTTTAGTGGAAAACCCAACTTGATTTCACAAACAGTTAAAGTTGAAAGATTCGTTGCCCAATAGCAGTCAAGTCTTGAGGGTACCCTGATGAAGGTTTGTTGAAGACGCATACCCAACTCCAATCTCCATTAGTTTAAGGTCGCGTACAAGCAAATCCAGGTTTCCCTCACTCCCACTAACATGGCACCTGACAGGGGGTCCCAAGAGGAAAATTATCTTCCAGGTACCCTCCCTCAGGTGCCAGGCGTGGGAGGAATGATACTCCCGTTTTAGTGTTTAGTTCAAATTGGCATACCCAACTCCAATCTCCATTGCGTTAAGGTGGGATACAAACAATTCCATTGGAATCCACGGTCGTTGCTCTGCCAAAGGCTAGCTTAAAGAGTTGTTTTCAGGGATAGAGTCCAGTCTATGGGTGTAAACCTGTTTGATGGTGTGAAGGGGTAGGTAACACCTAGTTGCCATACACAACCAATCGCGTTAGCACACAATGGGAGACGGAAATGGATCGGCCACAATTGGGGCGCGTGTAGCTGCTACTCACTATGGGTCAGTCTTTTTTCAGGGGACTCCAACATGGCTTCCGTTTTCCTCTTGGTTTCTCTCACCCTTAAAAACGGCAAAGCAAAGGGTACCCTCAAAAAGACAGACCGATAAGACCCATATCACAAGGAGCACAATTTGGGGGTTCCCCTACTCAGTTGCCCAAAGGACACAGAAATACAAGGTCAACCTTTTGGAGCCATGACGGCCATGACTAACAATGGTCCAAAGGGGGAAGCCAAAAGGTCAAAAGCTCGACTGGCTCATGGCAAGTGAGCCTATCTTGACACCCCAAATGCAGAAAGGAGTTCGCAAATGCCCAGTTGGCAGTTGCTTTTTCCTGGGCCAAATGGAAATCTGAGGCTCTGAGGGATCCGCAAAGGGAAGTCCGTTTTTTTTATTGGTTGATTCCAGCTTGCCAAGTCTTGGTATGGGCTTGCAAAAAAAACGACGGTTTTTGACAGGCCCCCACTAAACATGAACAGAACCAAACAAAAGACGTAAACCACATGCCAGCAACAAAGCCAGTCAAAGACCAACACTCGCCAAAACTTGCCTGGGACGATGGAATGTCTCGTTGGTGCCTAGCAAAAGACAAGACCCAGTTCAGCAGCAAGAGGCCAAAACCGGGGGCAACCCCACAAGTGGCCAAACTCTCAGGTTCCGCATAGAAAACCACACATATTCCTATTCTGTTTGAATCTATATAAGTCCACCCTACAGTGAACAATCGTGACTTTCGGAGGCCCAGCACAAGTTGACAACTGGGCGTCTCAAAATAGTGGAGCCCCCAAAAAAGTGAAGTGCTAGTCTCCATTTGGTTTACTTTACGGCCACCAAGAAAAGACCGGTACCAACTCAAAAAGAAAAAGAAAAACGACAGCCACCGCCTCGCCCACCTCCCACACCTCCCACACCTCCCACACCTCCCACACCTCCCACACCTCCGCCCTCGCATGCCTTCTGCTGCAGCATGGACACCTTCCAGTTGCAGGCCACCCCACAGGGCTGCACCCCCTGGCGGCCCACGACCGAACTTGGGGTCCTTCGGCCTTCGGAGTTAAAGGCGAGGTCCTCCAGACTTGAGAGGCCAGAAGAACTTGGTACCCGACTTGTTTTTCTGCTTCGTCTACTTTAGTAAGGGAACCCTCCCAACCAAAAAAGGGGAGAGAAGGGCACTTTCGTATTTGTTGGGCTCCTAGAAATTACTCTTTCCTTGGCGCCCTCGGAAAAGAACGCTTTGGAGGCGCTTGCTTTTGTGGATCCACCCCTGTTGGAGTAGATAAAGAGTACTAAACAGAGTACTAAACAAGGAAGCACTGGCAAAACAACAGGGGGAATCAACAGAAAACACATCCAATCCTCTGGAGCAGATCCCACTTCCAGTTCCGTAGCAATAGCTTTTTGGTTGCCTGACCAAGCGGATGTTGGACATGAAAAACGTCATTGGGGGGTGAAATGGGACATGTGAGTCGCCTCATCGAATCTCGGTTTTGACCTTTGCGAATTTGGCATGGCTCGTATCTTGAGCGCCTTCACCTTTTTGAACCCTTTGACCCATCAAAAGAGAAGGAGCTGGAGGGCTCGCCAATTCAATTGGGTGCACTGCCATGAGATTTCAACCAACCCAGTCAAATGGTTGTTCTGACCAAGTGACTAGAAACTGCTTTCTTTTTTGCGCAGGTTTCTGCTGGTATATCCTCAGCACGAACCCCTTGTTGATTCAGGAACCCAAAACAAAACAAAGTCTCATTGTCCTTTGGCTTCCCTCGTTTGTGTGGCTTTTTTAGGGGAAAGCAAGAGACACCCCACCCATTCCTTATGGCTTCCAACCCCCAAAAAAGACGCACCCAGCCCGGATTTTCAGGCGCCCCCCCCGGATGTGAAGTTCTCCGATTCGCCTCCCCGGCGTAGTGGGAGGCCCAGTGGCATTCCAAAGCCGAGCCCATCCTCAAGTCGGGTGGGCTCAAGTCGGGTCCCGTTTTTGGATTCACCAGTTGGTTTTCCACAGGGTTACCGGCTGGTTTACCTGCTTAACTAGGGGGGATGCTACAAAAAACTCATGGCAGCTCCCGAAAGGCTTCATGTGTAAAAGCAAACTTGGATACACTCAGCTCCGTAACGGCTCCCGGAGCCAACCAACAGCTAGTGCCCCTTTTGGTTTTCAGGGTTACCTGTTGGTTTCCCTGTTTAACCTGGAGGATTCCGAAAAAGAATCCCACCAAAAGGACCAGAAATCTGATTCATTACGCCATCCACTTTCATAAGATAGTATCTACTTTCTCTGTATCATGACGCCAGGAACGTGTTACATCTTCACTTTTTGGAATCTAGTTTCACCTCTGGCGCAACACTTTGATACCAAAGTGGTTGGATCCATCTCTGGTCGAATGCCCCGTCGCGAACTGTCCAGAAACCCTTGTGGAAGTGCCCGGCATTTGTGATAGCCATTCCCAGAACTGCTTAACTCAGGTAATGTTGACCCCAAACTAAAAAGTTTCTCTCTGAAACCATCCAACCAGGACGCTGGACGTCCCCATTTTGAGAAGTCTCCGAATGTTCCAGTTCGAATTCTTTCTACTGGAGAAGTCTGTTTCAGCCCTGATTTTTGTTCCTGCAGATCTCCCCAGCTATGTGATGATCCGTCTCAACAAAAAGTTTCAAGTTCTCGTTGATGAGACTCCCAACCATAGCTTGACCGGGCACCGAAAATATGCTTTCATGATTATGTTTCATATTGGGCCTATTTTAAAGCATAACATGGTGTTGTTGGAGGATGCTGTTGGAGACCCCAAATACTCCATGGTGATGTGCTGGCAGCTAGAGGGGGAATTGAGGGTCTCATATACTTCCCTCCCATTGTTTTCGCAGACCATCGGTCTCCCCATCTCCAGATGCGGAGCTTGAGCGCAAGTTTCTGGGGCTACGGCTGAATGTAGGTGGTGGCATTGCACAAGTGCTCCACCTGGATGGCTCCATGTTCGGCCGCAGGCTGTTTCCAAAAAGCGCCCAAAGCCGGCAGGAAAGGTTCGGAAGTCTCATCCAACCCTTCCGGGGGTAGGACCCCCTAAAATTATGGTTTTCCTTTTGGTTTCCTTTTAGCTTTCTAACCCCCCTCAAAACAGGCACCCGCAAAACAACACATCAAATCCTCGAACATTGACCTTTCCGCAAACAGCTGTTCTGAGGCTGCCAGTTGTTTGCCGGGTGCCGACACGTGGTCACCATGCTTGCCCGGGTAAAAACATGGAAATGCCGCCGCGAAACCCCTTCGGAAAGGGTCAAAAACATGCAACATGCCCTGCTCAGAACTAAAACGGGTCCTTATGCTGGCTGCCTACGTGCAGGATATGTATAAGGACAATGCACCCCCCCTCGCCATGATATTTTGACTGGGAGTAGGTGAGTACCAAAACCTAAAATTTGCACAAGGCGGGAAAACCGAAACAAATGAAAACAACGCGCTGTTCGACCGGGAGTCGCAATGTCACAATCATCCAGTTGATGGTTGCAGTCGATTGGATCTTATAAGACCTTCAAAACATATCGCCCAACACGCCCTCTATGCCAAGTTCAACCAAACAAATCAGAAAACCTCCACTTCGGCAGTTCTACCGACAAAAGGCTGGCATGAGTGCCGCCCAGAATCAGGGACCCCTCCCGTTCGGCCTGAAAGGGGGGGTTCCTACACACGTCTTGTTTGGCATGGCCCAAAAAGACACCTGTACTTCCGGCCCTATTGCTCCAAACGCCACCCAAAAAAACAGACAACGCTTCAGTGTGAATTCGGCAAGTGGAAGCCGCGAACTCCCGCCAGGTGGCCGGATTCCTCCCGTCATCCTGGGCATCGCTTCTGCCACTGCGCGGGTTCGCGGAAACGGCTCGAACCGCGTGAAACCCCAACGCGCGGTTTCCCGCGCCTGGCGCCCGACCATTGGGGTCACCACCTGAGCGAAGAAGTGAGCCGAGTGAGCAGCGGGCTTTGAGGTCGGGCAGGGCTTTGCCGGGAACAGCACTTGATCGAAATGAACCAAACACAGCGTGGGCCGCCCGTTTTCAGATCCCCGGCTAGAGGTTTGAACTTTTAGCGGGTGAAATGGAAACCCAACCACTAAACACTAAAAAGCTTCAAGTCTAAGGGGATGGCTGGGAGCCACCAAGCATCAAACACTGTGTCTGTGGGGTAGGGGCTTGCCCCCACCGGAGGAGGAAGGGGGGGGGGTGCTGCAGGGCTAAGCCCGAGGTTCCATTCAGAGTTCCTTGTTTTGGTTGGAGACTTCAACCCAGGGATGGTTGATTGTCCAAAGAAACAACCTGGGCAGCACCCCCCTGGTGACGGGAAAATGGAACAAATGGAGATCTCCAGGGTCGCAATCCACCGAATTTCATTTTACTCAGGGGGGGCATAGCAACCCATGACCACGCGAAAAGGAGGCGGCTCCCTTGATAAGGACATAATCTGTTTTACGGTCTTCCCCTGACTAGCCTCTCCAAAAGGGAAATCGGGGCCGATCTTCTTTCAACACACACACACACACAACCATGAGCATTCGAGCCTGAGGTTGCTTTGTTTTTAAGCTAAAGAGAAAGCCTCCAAAAAGGGGGGGGTGGAAATATGACAACTTTTGGGGTGTCTGGTTGCTTCATCCTGGGTATATTTGGGCCAAATACAAAATCGCTTCTGCCAGCTCATTCAGAGGATCCCCTTGTAAAACAAGGCCTCTTTTTTTGGGGGGCATCCTTCAAGAAACCCTCAAACATAAAACGAAAAGGGGAACACCCCCCTGCATGGAGAGCATATCAAGGACGCAAACCCCTCAGAAACCTGTGCTAAAACATTTCTGGATGTTGATGTTGACCCCTCTTCAAAAAGTGCTTCACTTTTTGTGAGTCCAATTCAATCCCAGCTATTTCTCTCCAAGAAGTGAATTCCAAAGATCCGTTCCCAAATCGCCATAAAGTAGTCCCTGAAAAGATTGCCGAGATTCACCCATCTGGCGCCGGCAAAACGATCTCCATCCGAAAAAGAGAAGGGTACCTAGACCCTCCCAAACAAAAACGCCTCAGCAAACAATTCCACCAAAGTACCTATCCAACAAACAATTCCAGCCGTATAAGCCGGGACCTTCTCTTAAAAGCCTTGGGCCGCCAATTTTTTGTCCGAACTCGGCCCCCAAACCGACGTTACGCCGTCGCTCGCCCGAGCGCGAGCGAGCGCGAGCGGGCTGCGCCTGGATCCGCTGCAGCACCTGCAGCGCCAGGATCAGCGTCACCGCGGCGAGGGACGCGGAGCTGATGGCGTAGGAGGCCGCCAGACACTTGTGCCGTCCTCGCCGGATCCGCGACCGACGAGGGGCGGCGGAGGCGACCGGGCGAACCGCGAAAACTCGAGGACGAGGGGGCCCGCTGTGAAAAAGTGTCGCCGCAAAAACGGCAGGGTTTTGGGGGGGGGGGTGGGGAAGAGGGGGGATTTTGGGGGGGTCCTCGAACTGAAAGGGACAGGCGAGACCGGGCAGAGGCGAGCCGGCGAGCCGCGAAAAAACGGCGGAAGGCGGGTGGGGGGGGGGGGGTTGGGGGGGGCTTTCCGCGAAAACAACAAGCCGGGAGCAACGAAAAGGTTTTTGTTTTGGGGTGGTGTTGTTCTTTCCAAAATTCACGAAGAAATGGGAAACGAGAAGGGGACTCCAAGGAAAAGGTGTCGTGGAATCGGACCTAAATGGGTCTGGTGCTTCGTGTGTGATGTTGAAATCTTGTTGTTGATGCTTCTGCTGGTGTTGCTGCTGTTGCTGTGGGTGCATGGTTCTTTATTTGGGAATCGGAGCAAAACCCCCCGAACGTTGACGTCGTTTCCCCAGTCTCGGTGTTCCCAGTTTCCTGGGTATGGGAGGGAACCCCGATGCAGGGCTTATGCCCGAGATGCGCTGCGAAATCCGGTGAGGAACGCCATGCCAGATGGGCTTCTCTCAAGATGGGAATGGGACCCCCCTCCCAAAAAAAAAAGAAGACGAAGAAGAAGAAGAAGAAGAAGAAGAAGAAGAAGAAGAAGAAGTGGTCCTCTGTTGGTTCTCTTGTAAGACCACCCCAAAAAGACCATCCAGAAAACGACATACCCAAATGGGTCTCTTTCATGGGGCCCCTTCTGGTATCTCAGGAGCGTCGGCAGGTGCCAACAAAATGACATACCCATCAGCACTCGGGTCCCAACCACCGCTTTTTGGACACCAAGGGCATCTTGGACATGGGAGAACCGGTGTGTTTCTTCAAAGCCAAAGAGGAAGAACGCAACACAGCTGAAGCAAATGACTTTTGTTTCTTTTTTGGTTTCTCCAGCTTCTAAATCGATATGGATGCGCCATAGTGTTGGACCCACACAAATAGGTGGTTTGCCTTGAATATAGGCTCAGGGTCAAGCAGAGTGGCGTCCGCTGAACAGCTCTGGCCCAGACTCCCAAATCTACACCAACAATCATGTCTTCGGCCGGAGCTTCAACATAGGACGGACCTTTCCCCCCAAGAACAAAAAACTATTTTTGGCTCTTAAAGGCCACCCCAAAAAGGGGTCTCCAACACTTGGTTGCTGTTGACCCCCCTTGCAAAAAGTTAAACCTTTTTGGGGGTTTTAGTGGAAACCCCTTGATTTCAACCAATAAGTGAAAGGCTAAAGCTCCGTTGCCCAAGCAGTCAAGGTAACACCCCATTTTGGGCAACTCCCAGACTCTTCGGAGCTGCTTCTCGTCTCGCAGGGCACTCCTTGGGTGGCGGTGAGGCCCAGGAGGCTGGTGACCACCACTGCGAAGCCCACGAAGAGCAAGACGTGCACCAGCGACCTCCAAAGAGAGCAAAGAGCCGAGCGCAAGCGCGGGCGGTGACTCGGTGACGTCCCACGCGGTGGGAAAACGGGCGATTTTTAAACGATACGAAGCTTATTACTTAGTATATTTGCTGAAGCTATTTATAAACAGGGCATATTTATAGACGTACGGCACACAAGATGCACGCCGGCCATTGGGGTTAAACTGGGGGAAAAGGCGCGAGCAAAAAACAAGGCTGGCGCCCCGCAGGGAAAGCGAAGGGCGGTTTTCCGCTGTCCGCCGATGCTCTTCACCTTCACATCTGTCTTCCCAAAAGAAAGACCCACAAATGCGCCGAAAAGGGGGTGAGGGTGGTTGCTAAATACCAATTCCGATTGCAGGGGGACCCAAACAAAAACACCTGGAGTTGAGTGGATCGTCCGCCTGCTCAACATCCGGTGTTCAATAAATGGACCTGGGTGTGTGATTGACCCTTTTGGGGGTGTTTTTCAATGTAAAATCAAAAGGAAGCCACAGATTTGGGGGGTCCAAATCGCTAGTTTGACACATACTCTTTTTAATTGCCTGGAGCAACTTGGGTTTGGACTCGACATGGGAATGCTTCCCTTCAGTTTCCCACAGAAGGAAACCGAAGCCTCAAGTTTAAAACCGCGTCTCCAGGTTCAAATGGGGTTAAACACCCCTGGTTGTTTCTTTGTCTTTCTTTCCTGGTTAGCCTGGGATATGTTTTTAAACATGCACTGATCACTGTGATGCTTATTTGTGCCACCAAAGGCAAAGTGACCGATTCCCCGATGCCCATTTGGCTCGCAGCTTCCCTGGATTAAGACGCTCCTTTTCCACCAGGCTCGGCACCTGTTTGGCACGTCGGATTAGTCGCAGCTACCATCTAGACGCAACGTTCAGCAAAAATCTCTGGATGGTACGTTCATGGATTGTTCGTGAACTCACAGCTCTTGATAGGGCCGCGACACGCCCTATAAAGTCTTCATCAAGTTGGCAACTAAATGCACATGGATTGAGGGTGTCGATGTTCTTGAAGCCAGCATCCCGCAACGAGTACATAAGGTGCGCTAGCATATGAATCTTTGGCTGAAGTTTGTATCTGGGCCATCCTTGCTGAAAAGCGTACCCTGCAAGAGAGCTGTATAGCGATAGAAATGCAAGCCCGTGATTGGAGATGCGACGGGCGTCTGCAGGTTTCAACCACAAAGGCTGATGGTACAACTCAGACATGAAGCTGTTGCCCTCAACCAAAGCTCTGGAAAGCTGTGAAAGATGTTCACCATGATCACCTTCGTAATCAGCTTCAAACCGCGGTATTTTCCACTCCAGCCATTTGCACACGATTGTTGTGTCTGCTCCCTTGAACCAAGACCTATAGTTGGCCCACATCATGCAAATCCATTCTCAATTGATCGAACAAAAAACAGAACACATGTACAGAAAATGTGCTACTTTAGGAAGAGCAGCCCTGAGGGGTAATCCGAACTGTTGTGCCAGCCAAGAAGAGACCTGGTCAACGCGTTCATGTGAAGGACCAGCTTATGCATGCTGCAATACACCTGCAGCTCCTCAAAGACAGCACCCAGACGAGCCAGAGCACCCCCTCCCCCGTAAGCTTCAAGCTCTGCCACCAGGCTTACCTGCGTTTTTGTTGGACAACTTGAGGTGTACACACAAATATCCTAGCTAAGTTGAGTCGATCTTTCGTGACAACAATTGCAACTAAGACACAATCGCAGACCCAGCGATGTCACAAAACACGCCCTTGTGCACAGTGTGAAATAGATCGATCAAATAAAAAGACGCACGGTCAGATTTGTCTTGCGGAATGTTCGCCAGTGGGGAAGGAATGGTCCACGGGAGCGGGTCAGCACCAATCGTTTCCAGCCACGCTGCATCCGGGCTGCACACATGCCACGGAAAGAGAGACTGCCCAGCCAAACATAGGTGACATATGCCTGGTGGATTCTCGGCCTTTGGGGCATCACGAAGGTGGTGCCTCGTCAACCTTCCTAGCTTGGTCAGAGCAGGCCAGTCTCCCTTCAGCCCTAAGACGACCAATCGTATCCTGTGAGTGCGCTGGTTGAGTGTGATGTCAAGGCCATTGTTAAATGCATCGGTGCATTCCTGGGCCAGAACCTGAAGAAGGGCGTAAAGTGGAAGCTTGGATTTAGCATACAGCCTTGCCTGCATCACACTCCAGAGAATCCGCGTTAAATAGGTGCTGCCACAAAAATTCAGCTCAGCGCTGCGGGAACTCCCCTTGCCCATCACTGGTTGAAGCTGCAGCACCAAGATCTGTCGCTTTTTCTGTGATGTTCCTTCATCAGCATGTAGGAAGCATGGTACGCAATGCGATAGATCTTGGCCAAACACATCAAACACCGGATGTGTGGGCTTGATTCTCTTGTATCGAGCCCAAAATGACAAGTAGCTCGTGAAGTCATGCCCCTGAAACAAGATGTCGAGCTTCCCTGCATCAGATAGCGCAGTGATGTAATTTGAAATGGAGAGCACCGGGTGGTCTGTTTTCAATCCTATGTTGTGGAACGTTGGCTTGACGTCAACCTGAAGTCCATGCTCCACTAGCAACGCAGGTAAACGACTTGTGTGCCCTGTGCGATGAAGCCGGTTCATGCCCTCCAAGAGCTCCCCACTATGCATGGACTGCGGCTCACCAAGCTCAGCGGATTCTTCCCAAAAAGCCGCAGCAAGGCTGCATGCCTGAAGTTCACTTACCTCAGGTTGGTCATACGGTTTTCACGAACAGCACATATTAATTGTACCTATGCATATCTCAAACTGCAGGAAAAGCCAACAAACCCATCCTCAACAGTCCATGTTTTGCACAAATGTAGGCTATAGGCCTGCAAAAATATGAGAGTCGAGTCGAGGCACGCTGGTGCCAACTGCCCGCGCAATCGCTCGCCCCACAGGCCCAATCTTGCGATGCTTCGCCGCCGGCAAGGTGGACGAAGAAGCACCTGCGCAAGGCTGGGATCAGACTGACATCGAATTGCTGAAGTTTAATATGGATTGACTTGCAATTGGGCTCAATCAATCTTTGAAACTTCAATCCCCAAATACGGGATGCACTCAGCTCAACGGGATCGCCGTCCGTGGGTGTTGTCACCCTGGCTCCCTGCCGCGTTGCATCCAACACAAACCCCTGCCAGGATCATGCTTTTCCTCGACATAATTTGCAGCTATATGTTTGTTGCGGAAAAACAGAAGCATGCCTGGCCATCTAGGCGGCATGTTAGACACGCCGCACGATGCCCCCTAGAAACCCATGCCTGGATTGCCATACAGCAACATATGGGTCTGTGTGTGTTCATGGGACATCAGCAAAAATGCCACCAACGTGTTTGAACTTTGGTTTTGCTCTAAAAAGGCAGCAATCCCTGCATTCAAGACATGTTGGACATGCCGCACATCGCGATGACCCATTCTACGAGCTTTTCACCCTCGATGGGCCCTTGACACAAACCCGGGATGCCCATATGCAGTTTTCTCCACAGCAGCCAAGGTTGTTCACACGCATGCGTGTTGACTTGCATGCTGATGTGTTTCTCCCAACTGAAGTTTTGCAAGCTCGTGTGGTTTAAACTGCAAATGCCATCGCAAAATCTATCGGAGCCACATCGATCGCTCAGGCTGCCTTGCCATGCTTTTCGGCCCGAGGACCTGCAAGGGAGGTCAATGGTGGTCAAGGGTGGGCAAGGGTGTCTTATGTGCATAGGGGTCCTAAACTGGCAATAACAAATAATATATAATATAGTATACATTGCATAATATAATATATATATATATGTATATGTATATGTACTGTGTACAGTACGCTGACACACACGTGCACATTCCCACATGGCCTGGCACTGCAGCTGCGCGCTTCTTTCCCTTCTTTTCCTCCCTTCCCTGCTTTTCCTTCCGTGCTCTCCTGCCCTGCTTTCCCTTGGACGCACTGCCCTCCTGCGGCTCCTTCGGCTCCTTCGGCTCCTTCGGCTCCTTCGGCTGCTTCGGCTTGGGCTTCTCACAGTCCTTCTTCACGTTCTTCAAAATGGTCCTGAGATAAGACGACGTGTGGGACAGCAGCATATATATTTACATGTGGTATGTATATACTTTATAATATGCATATATATATATATATATTATATATATATATATATATTATATATGTATACATGCATTGACTTATATATGGAATATCTCGCATGCACATCATATCAAGTTCGCACTGTGTATCAAATAAGTTTAAGTAATATATATATATATAGAGCGATGATACAATGTGTACTAATATATATATATATATATATCGATATGTTCGACGTGTTTATACATACGCAAATGATCATATGTATGTTATATATATATATATCATGCATGATGTATATATATATGTACGCACGTACGGTAGTTTCTGACCGCATTACCTTGAAAATGTCTTATGTACAAAAATATGTAGGCATATATATATATATATACATATGCATGTATATGTACACAAATGAGGATTATGTGCAAACATACGCAAATGCAATTGCAAAGTAAGATAAGATGGGGTAGATGGGGCTGCCAAACTCTAATTGCGACGCATGGCAACTCCACCGCTTGCATCAATCAAGTTGCTTTTTCAGCTTGTTCTCTTCCGTCTGGGCAAGGGAGGCCCTGCCAAAATGGGACCCGCGCACATGCATGAGCGCACACCATTTGAGCATCAGGGCAACACAGCGTGAAGTAACCGATGATCGGGCGCCTGATCTCCACTTCCTTCACGATTTGGTTGTACTCCTGCGTCAACCTGATTTCGGTATATTTGACCCCGCGGTCATTTGTGTGGGTTCCCTCAAGGCGTCATGCAGGCTGTTTGGCATGGGAACATGTGTGGCACACATGTGTGCGTGAACTTTGGTTTGCTTCCCTAACATATGTCACATGAAAGCTGTAGACAAGTAGCTCGTCAGAAAGATGCCCGTGGGCATCTATCTGGGCCTTGTAGTTGG